GAGTTGTTATCGGTACTATCGGGCAGGTACCCAATGGTTTTTCGACTGCTGTTCACGGTTCAATGACCGTAATTATCGCCTTCACAGGTGGGAACTGCAATAGCAAATCTTTCTATATAGGTACCTAATACCCATTTGTTCTCGTCTTATACAAACCACAACGAAAATTTCACTCATTTGGAAAATTGTGATTAGTATGACTTCTGTTTTCGCTGCTCAGCTGCTCTTTTCTCAAATCCCTACAATTTTTCGTCAGCTCGTTAGAAAAACGAACTTGAAAAGAACTGACGTAGCAAAATACTTGTTATTATTTGTTGAAGGGTGAGTCGTAACTATGATTAATGTATGAATTATGAAATTCATGGGAGACTGCGCACAACCACCATGGTCCTATGCCGGTTGAGCGCCGTTCCAATGACTTGCACCGTCGTTTCGTGAGGCCCGTGAGCTACGTCAGCGGGCACCTTTAAACCGTGATCCGCACTCGCTTCGTGGCTGAGATTTGCTCGTGGTCTGTGCTAACAATAGTGACTTGGCGTACAGTGTTAGGTATCTGTCTGTCCCATGTCATGCCAGTGCAACCGTTTATTTTTGCTAGGATGACGAAGTTCGGATGGTGTCTCTCCTATTCTTTTCTATCGCTCCATAGCTTCCTCACGCTCTAAATTTGTATTTTTCTCGCCATCCCCCTGTCCCTCTCCGTTCCCATCCCTCCTCGGCTTTTTCGCATAATATCACACATCATATTTCGTTTTCCTCCGTCCCTTCACTTCTACTGGCCGTCTCACCCAGTGCCTCATCCAGCCTGTTGGCTGCTGGCCGTTGGGTTGCCCCAAATCAATGTTCTGCCGTCGCCGCTGCCGCTGTAAATATTTGCCGTCGCCATGAGCCCGAGGGTGGTACGGTCCGGTGGCATGTGATGATGACGTAGACGCAGCGATCATCGGCCTCCCGGCGTCACATGATGTGACGGATGGTCATGCATAATGTATTTTGGGCCCAGATGAAGCTCCTGCTGAATTGGGCCGATTTAGTAGGAATGGGATGAGTGAAAAATCATGGAAGAAGCGGACTGAGCCAGCGGCCAAGGTCGAGGAAGTCACGAAGCTTAGCTAGCACGTTTCTTTCGCTTCCTAGGTGTTCCGCCTGCTCACATGCCTCCTAAGAAGACGTTTGGCTGGCAAACAGCGGTGATTGCTTTCACTGGTGCGGTGGTTGTGGTGGATGGCCTTGGTAACAGGACACTGTTACCGTACCGCTATGGGACGGTTCAGGGTGGTCGATGCCTTCCCCACAAACCGTCACCGCACCTATCATGTGAGCGACACATGTTGAAACGTCTATCGGAAACGGAACACAACACCGTCGGTGGCTTATAACGATAGCCTGTGCGGCCGGCCGGTATGGTGTGTGCCGGTCTTGTCCAGCCGTGCGTGAGGTCAGTGGGCCTTACCAACATGTTTGGACTGGCCGGGTTCCCACGCAGGTGACACGGAATGTGACCTGTTGACACACTGTGACCCGGTGGGGTTTCATGACACCCGGTGGGGTTTTGTGACACATTCTCTGAAGGAGCAGCGGGTTTTGTGGCACACTGTGACCGAGGGGTTTTGTGACACATTCTTCGGAGGGGCGTGGTTGTATGGTGGCATGTGAGACGATGGGAGTTTTTAGTGCCGTATACGACCCGCCTCGGATCCATTTCTGTTATATACGGCCTGTCGTCGGCATGTGGGTAGGCTGTTCGTTTTGAAACCCGACGGACCATATCTGAATCCGTTTCTGTGTTAAGCCGGCGTCTAGCCGAGTCGGAAATTCCCATCATACATCATACATGTGACGCGTTCGTTGTAATCTATTATCATTGTCACCATCTCTCAGCATTTGTAACTGTTCTCCAGCCGTCTCCTGTCTCCCGTCTCCCGTCTCCCGTCTCCCGTCTCCGTCTCCCGTCTCCGTCTCCGTCCACTGACCGTGGTCTCCAGCCGTACAGCGCATAGCCGGGAGCGGTTTACCCCAGCTAGTCAATGAGCCATATCTCCATCCTTGATGGGGCACTGCTAGTGCTGACACCGACCTTCTGTTTCCACTGGCTCTGTTATGCTAGCTAGCTGTCGCAGCCGCTGCCTATAGCTAGCGCTGATGCGACCTTGCTGCTAGAGGATTGGTTCATCGCTAACTCCGCTGCTAGTAGCGTTACCCTGATGCTGGCGCTCCTACTACCTTGCTAGAGCGCTGGTTCAGTACTCTCTTGATCCTGGCGCTAGTATACCGCTACTGCCGCGTGTTGCGCAGCTTTTTCGGCCATCGTTTTTCGCCACGGTAGAACTGGTCAATAGTCAACTCAGGTCATGTGATCATGTGATGCGCTCGCCTGGGGCGACAGCGGCGGCGAGTGGGTGGGGCGGAGCTCATGTATTACCCATGGTCGTGCCTGGCTCCGGCGCCGGCTAGACGGGTCACGAGACTAGTCGGTATCGGTAGAGCGCTGAGCACGTGCCGTGTTCCTGAGGGAGGCTGGTGGAGGTGCGGCCAGTGGTCACCCTGAAAAGGAAGGCTGGTGCTGGCCGCGCAGTGAGGAGAGAAAGGGGAGGGACTGAAAGTCGGATGTGAGAAGGAATGTGGGAGAGGAGTGAATGAGAGGGAAGCGATGCTAGCTGTCAACAAATGGTATGGGAAGAGGCGGGATAGAAATGGATGATAGGGTGCTGCGGGAAGATGCGATACAGTAGACGATGTGTGGATGGGCGACGGTTTAGCTGGGTAGGTGTTGTGAAGATGCGACGCTTGTATGTACACCGTTGAGAAGATAAATGTGATTCCACTGGAGGGTTTTGATGTCATGTGATCTGAGGCTGACGGACTGAGTGATTGGCTGAAAGGGTGGCTTACACTGGTGGCCTGAGTGTTACCTCTGTCGCCCGTCCCGCCGGGTAGCCCTCAGCGGCATGTTTACACATCGCTGACAGAATGAGGCACGTATCTGCCCCAAATGAAGCACGTTTCTGCCGTGTCACGCTCGAACCAGCCCGTCGCCGCGGTTGGTGGGGCCTTTGCCTGTTGTGCAACAATCCGGTCGTGATCTTTTCTCGTACCTCGCGCGAAAAGCCTGGGTTTCCCACGATTGGCTCTATTCACGAATTGTTTAAACAGCGATCGAGAGACGATATACAATCAATCGATTGGTATTGGACGGTCGATGAACCTGAAGGAAGCAAGAGCGATCGTCAAGCATTGACTCAAAGGTTTTATCAATGCAGTTACGAAATAGACTACCACTCAGTTTGCTTTCGAAAGCTAGATATAGCCTTATTTGAGGAGTCGCTATCATAGTTGACGTCCTGTGAACTCACCATTGATAACTCTATCACTGCCCTCGTTGGTGGTCGCCGATCATCCCCCCCCCCTCCCCCGCTCCGCTGGTCAGTCTGACGTCATCGGCGTCCAATGAAGGCCGTCACCGTGGGGCCGGCGGACCGTCGTTACGGGGGGGGGGTCTGACATTGACCGCTGGCCAGTCGCTCCATCGACCGCCTCCGATGGAGGCCAGAAGGAGGTCGATTCGCCTATAGGTACCATGGGCGGGCTGACCAGCACGGGCTGGATAGGGTCCGGTCGGGAATGGAGACTGGAACTGGAGTTTGGCTGGAGTCTGGAACGTGGGTATATGATAGGGTAGGAAGGAGGGACGCCGATTATTTTGGAGGACGGTGTAGTGGAACGAACAAGCTTTGGTGCTGGATTAACTGTGGTTACTGAAAATCACAGAAACTTACTGAGATTCACTGAACTGACAAATGTGTTATGAGCTGTTTCCTGTAACCGATGTCACTGCTGTTGGAAACAAAATTCAACGTCACAGTGAACATGTTACGGTCCAAATACGCTATCGGGGATTTTGGGTTCAGTTCCCCAATCCCCAGTATTGTGAGTCACATTGCGTAACGTTCCCTATGGCATGTCCGTGTAGCACCACGCGGGGCCGACTCGGATGACATTCGTCCCCGTCCGCTCGGCCGTTACGGGGTGCATTTAATTTCCGGCCGCCGGCATGCCATCTGCATGACTCAGACCTGTGTGCAGGTCTGCTTGTCCGGTCTCTCGTCTGCGTAGATGTCTCGTACCGCCGTCATACCGTTCTCTATTTCGGGACGGGCTAAGTATCAGTTGTCCCGATAAGTTGCGATAGCTCGGTGTCCTTAGCGGCGCACTGGCCAGGAGCGGTCGCGGTTTGACCGGGATCAGCGTCAGAAGCTTTATCTGACGGTCAAAGGCACAGTGATAATCCTCAGACTTGGCCGTCAAACCTGAGATAAATACGCTGATGAGTGGAAAAGCTGCTGCCCGTCACCGTCCGAAAGTCACCACGCTCCACGGCTATGGTGGTTTTGGCACTTCTTTACGGTTTACCGCTCTATTTCTTCCTGACAATTTATGACATTTTTCTACTGGCGTATTTCACAACTGGGAACTCCCGGAAAGGTTCCCGTAGTTTCTCACTGTCTGTGTTTAACGTTCCACGGCGTGCCAGCCGTCTACACCACGGCTGGCTGAGCTCTGGTGGCTCTGATACCTCGAGTCTTCTGCGGGGTCAACGCTCGATGGGCCGTGCGGGACGGTTGAGCAGTTCCCCTCTGCCAGGCTCACGCGTGTTATGACGTCACGTGTTTGTCCGTTGTCCTGTCACGGTACTGCTGATCTTGTTTGGTTTTATCTGATCTGATGTGGTATGGTCTAGGGTGTTATCTGGTGGAACTGATGTCCAGCGGGAGGCGAGGATAGCGGTCGATGGAGGACCGAGTTCATATGAAGGTCCGCTCGATGAGGGCGATTGATTACCTGTGGGTTCGATCGATGCTTGTTACACCCTGTCCCGCTCTGCTCTGTTAATTACTCAAGCCTGTAGCCCTCTGACCTGCGACTCAGATCCCCAAAACACTGACCATTCTCGCCCTGTGATCTGACCTGATCTGACCTGACCCGACCCCTGTTCTCGCCAGGTGGAGGAGCGGCTGACTGTGCTCGAAGGGGAGCTCCAGACTGCCAATGACACCATCACGCAGCTCAAGCATGACCTGCAGCTCAAGACCGAGCTACTGCACATCTACAACAATGACTTTGACGAGTCGGGATCGGAGGCAGGTCAGTGTCGACAGCCGTAGCCGAACGGAATGGCGAGTGTCCGTGTGGTATAGATCCTTTTTTAATGCTTAGGGTGGACAGGTGGACTGGACGGGTGGTTTACTTGGTTTCCTTGACATTCAACTCTAGTATCATTAAGTAACTGTCGAATGGCGTGCATTAAAGCCGTATGCGTGTGGGCGACTGCTGAGGTCGCCCGGATCGATAAGCGCAGCTGTTTTTCCTTCGTTAGCCTTGTGGCTGAAGATATTAAATAGGGTTTGTGTGTTTTTACGAATTGGGAACGGGTACTGGTAGAATAAGGTGATAAATATTGTCACCGACAGTCGACGACAAATATGCTGTTCAAGGTGGACGATAAACACAACACAGAGCGAAACGTTGAAATAAAAATTGTGTTTGCTTTTCGAAATTCACAACGTAGCAAGTGGTTAATTTTGTTTTGGTAATTGAGTCCTACTCCTGCCTATTAAAGGTAGTGTGCCAGCTTTCCTGGACTGTATGGAGTTAATGGCCCAGATAAGGAGAACCGGATTTTTAGAACTTATCCATACCTTCAAAACTCATGGAAACGTCTTAAATTCTTCAAATTTTGAGTACCCCAGTGCGAAATTCGCCCCGACGGGTTGTCGGTCGTACCCCAACCACATTTCACACCACTATGAACAACAAATGCACACACTGAAATCGCTATTACCGATATGCTCATCCAATCAAGTTTCGATAAACCCGTTCATCATCATCTCTTGCGGTTTCGAACACGCCTGTTAGGTGGTGCGGTAGACCGCGCCCAAAGCCAGGGCCCCGGTAACGTGAGGTAGCCGAGTCGGGGCAGCGTGCGCTGACCCAAGCCGGGGCCGCGCGTCCTCCCGGTGTCATGTGATAGCCCGGGGCTGCCCGCGGGGATGCGGTAGACCGCGCCCAAAGCTGCGGCCCCGGCTTGGGTCAGCGCACGCTGCCCCGACTCGGCTACCTCACGTTACCGGGGCCCTGGCTTTGGGCGCGGCTTCTGCTCATACTTTGTGGTGCGGTGGTGGTGCGTCGGGCCGCGCGCTCTGACTTCGGCCAAGCAAAAATGCGTCAGCTGATCATTGTCATTTCTGCCACTTGCGTGTGGTGAAATGGGGTCATAACTTAAGAGACGGCTTTTTCATATCAATTATTTTACATAAAATCATATTTCAAACCATAAATAATGTTCGACAGCCAAATAAAAGAAACAATACCAATACAGGCTTACAGTTTAAGGCTCGACATTGTGTTGTCTACGATTAAACAGCTGATAACTCATTCCCGTACGTCGTAACTCTATAATGACCTTTGCTTATTGTCACATGTGCGCCGCATTCGCGATTGTTGCCGACGCCTGTTTGCAGGTCAGCCCACTACAGTTGTTATACATATCGAAAAACCGATAAACTTTTTGGCGAAAAAGGTACTATTCCAGACCCATTTTTGACTTTTTTGCGATATTAGGTAAAAACAGAAGCTTCTTATCCTAGGAAAAATAAAATGGGAAATCTTTCAAAGGTGGCACACTACCTTTAACGATAGACGCCGTATCACACGGATAGCCTGTGGCAGGTCTCTGTTCCATTGACCGGTAACTGCCACGGACCAAACGATAGGGGAGAGACTGACCGTAACCGCCGAACTCGAAGGCGGAGACGCCCGTCTGCTCTCCGGAGCACCGCCGACGGAACGAGAGCGTGACATTCGGGGAAGACACTGACTTCTGAGGGATGCTGGGATCCGTCGGCGATGCCGTCATCTGTTGGAAAATGCTGTCATCCACCTGAGAGTTCTGTCATCTGCCAGAGTACTACCATCTGTCGGATGATACTCGTATCTGCCGGGACTTTGTGTGATCGGATTCGGAACATCCTGTGGTAGCGATTCAGCATATCGCTTTGATCGACACGTCTGTCTGTCTCGCAGCATTCTAAAGCATTCTGCATTTGTTTATTGTTTGTCCATATTTCGTATTTCGTTGCCCTGTCTGACGTCCGTTGTTGGTTTGTGATGTGCAGGCTGCAGATGCATCAGCTTCCAGTGTGCGAAATGTACAATGCATAGTCCATACAGATTGTCCACAATCGGGACAAAAACTGAGACTACTGGCACCCTCAGTGAGGCACCCCGTCCTGTTTTTACGGAGTACGTGCTCAGTGTTCACATATAAACTGAACGGGACGTGGCCTGATGGAGGGAATGACGTCCTGTCCCCGCACGGCTGAGGCCTGGTAAATGGTCAAATCGTGACCTAAAAGCCGTAGTCATCGGATACGGTGTCTTTTCTGTGCTGCCCGGTGGCGCGGGGTTCTCAGAAAAACTGGGTCCTCCGTCACGACCCTGGGTAGTTTTCTCTGACAAAAAGGACGGGATGTGCGGCCGTCTCGCTCTCTAGGTTATAAACATGGTGCCTGAGGTCGGCTCTCGATTCATTTCGTCGTGTTTTATTCGACTGTCACAGTCTGCTGATCCGAACCTCACAGTCACGGCTGGGGCGAGAGAGCCGACGCGGCTGGTGGTCAGGGCTAAAGGTCAGGCCAGCGGCCAGAGGTCAGGCCAGGAGCGTGCCTGATTAGCCCGGTTAGTGTCCCGTTAGATCGGGTCTCTTAGCCCTGAATATGTGATCAGCGCAGTGATCAGGCTGATGATATTTCAGTGGCGTGTTTTTCTGGTGATCAGTGGCTCCTTGACTTACTGTGCCTCATGCCTGCGTATGCGATATTTATGTTGAGTTTTTGTTGAGCTGATTAGTGTGTGGTGGCTTCAATGTCAGAGTTCTCTGGAAAGTGGAGATCCTTGTGGCCTTAATGCAGTGGGTGGTATAGAATAGATTATAGACCATATACCACTATATCTATTCATAGATATATAGTAGTCTATAAATAGACCCTTCCCTAATGGGTTATTTGATCTAATATACCGGGTCAGGTGACCAAAGCTTTGTACGGGCTTTGAAGCGGTTCCGAGTTCTTCACGACGCTGGCAAGGCGGCCGAGTGGTAACGGATTACTGATATATGACGGTGGGGCAGATAAGATACCCACCTTCCGAGTGCCGGTGGTTTGAGTGACATGTTTTTCACGGGAACGGCACGGCATTAGGCCGCGGTCAGGTGACTAGGCTGTAAATACATACGAACTGCTATCGCCCGAGATGTAAGCTCGCCCCGACCCACTTGTAATGTAATGGAGTGCATTTAAGTCCAAGTACGCCGGTGAATGTATGCTCCCCATTCACAATATTTCTCTATGTACGCGCCGGTAAATGTGTGATCTCCTTTCTTCCTTCAAGAACCCCATCGAGTACATTCGCACTGGAAAATGTGCGATCCCCTTCCTTTTCTTCAGTCACCCCACCGGGTAACTATGTACGCGCCGGTAAATGTATGTTACCACTCCCCTAGCTACGCCATTTGGTATGTAGTATGTTCCAGCCGGTAACTGTGTACCCCCTTCTTTCCCAGGCACTCCGTCGGGCATGCGGCACGCCGGCCTGGAGATGCTCCAGGCGCGCACTTCGCAGCTCGAGAAGGAGAACAGTGAGCTGCGGACGGAGCTGCAGCAGCTCAGTGAGAGCACAGAGACGGCCGAGGGACGCGAGAAGGCCCTGGTCGACGATGTCGTCTTCGAGCTGAGTGAGTGGAAATGGGGGCTTACGTTGGCTGAGTGTCGACTTGTTAGTGCTACTTTTTAGTGTCATAACTAAGTGCAAACATTAAGGGGTTTGTTTGAACCCAGAATGGTTGTTTTTCTCGGCTAAACTATATAAGTTAAGGTTTACGTTACTTTTTGTGAATTATTTCTTAGCACTGCAGAAATCTTGCCTAAAAATAGTGGTAGAACTTTCATCGGTATGCACTAGCGACCCACTGTGTAGCGGCTAACGGGCGTCCGCTGCTGCCGCTGGGGCAGTAACACTTTGTCCCCGGGCTGCCTGAGCTGTACCGTTACACCCGTCCCTTCCACACTATCAGCAGCGGCGATCCGACACTTCCCCTGGATGTCACCTGAAATATACCAGTGTCCTCTGAAATATATTCAGCCGCATTGACTCCCGAGGCCAGCTCGGACTCTCAGAAACACTTCCTGGAGCCACATTTGGTCAGCTAGTGCGTGTCGATGTCACGCAGTTCGCCGCGCTGTGCGTATGCTAAGTTCGTATATTCAATTCATGAGCTCAGCCCGTTGGCGGACCATACGTCTTGTCAGACCGTATTGGGGTGACGTCGGCTCTCCCATTCGGCCGCTCTCGACCGCTATTCACTGGGACGGTGACTGAGTGGTATCTATGCAGGTTCAGAGACCCGATGGACGGATGTGTGTGATCCCTACCGACAGTCGAGAGATGACCCCGAGAAGGGTCAGACCGGCGTGCCCTTTGTCCTTGAAAAGGGTCGTTGGTTAGCTGGGGTCTAGCATTGTTTCAGTGTGGAAGCTGATCTAGGAAGAAGACCCGCAGGCTGATGGCTATGCGTAAGGGACGTAGCTGTCAGTTTCAACCCGTCATTCTCGAGACATTTCCGCTTCAGCAGAATACACTTACAGCAATATCAGGCGAGCTCGGTCTGGAGCGTGCAGCCAATGTGAATTCCGGGGTAGGCAGGTACAGAACAACCTCTAAAAGCTTCCGTAAACACCAGTCCGTAGGTGCTGTCCCGTTGTAATGCAGTTGGTGCAATGCAAGGCGGATTCTGTTGTACAACTCTGGCGTTGTTTTCGGCCGGGGACGGCTACTGCCCGGCTCCGGTGCCGGAGACAGAGACGGTAAAAACTGGTCACACTGGTGCGATGGTGGAGATAGGACACTGCTGTCTGGACTGACACGGTGTCAACGGGAAACAAACGGGCTGTCAGTGATGGTGTTCCCCGGAGGGGGAGGGAAGGGCAAGAGATGTATGTTGCTGGTGAGCGGCAGCTAGTTGTATACCTACTTTGACAGGGTGGCTGGTGCTTTGCGAGGGCGTAGGAAAAAGCGATGCCTCAGACGTCTACAGCTACGATGGGTGCGCAATGTTGGTTTATACCTAGTATGTTTTATGAGGATTATCGGGTAAAGGATTATCTCTCAATGTGACTCTAACCAATTACAGGTAGATAGATGCTATGAACAGAGCTATTCCAGTCCCAGACCTTGCCACCTAACCATGGGTTTTCGTTTGGTCGAGTCATGCCGGGAGTTGTGCATTACGCCGCTCGCCGCACTCCAGTGATCTTCAACAAGTGATGTCCGCCCGGGCCAACGCCCTGTCATGTCACGGTTCCGCGCTGGCTGGGGGTATCATCGTCTGGTGTCGGTCTAGCTGGCCGGCGAGTTACCATGATTTTACTCTAGTGCTGAAGGCTGGTTAAAACGCTGTCACCTTCGTCCCGGCGTAGAATGGGAAGTGATGGGCGTTACCGACCATTGCACTCCGTGCGCCCTAAGCCCCCAAATCAGCATCATCGTCATCAAAAAGTGAAGTGTTGTTATAGACACCAGGACGCAGGTGTCTATCAGTTAATCCGCGACGTGGGTGGCAGACGTGAGCCCGTCTTAGAGCAGGGTTCACCCCCTACCGAGTCATTCTCGAGCCCGGCTTAAAGCAGGGTTCACCTCCTACCTAGTCAGACGGCGTTGAAGGGCCGGTACAGAACTCCCACCAAGTGCGGTCAAGTGCTCTGACGCACCTGTTCCTCATAACTAAGTCGGGTTTCCTGGGCCCTGATGGACTGAGTGCAACGGTAGCCACGCAGAGTCCGCGTGGGTATGGGTGGATTAGTGTCTGTCCTCCCGTACTCTATCTGTTCTACCGCTCCGTCCACCAGCCCCGGCGGGTGTCGTGAAGGCCAGTGGCTGCTGCGAACAGGTGCAGTTATTGCGGATGCTAATGTGATGCATCGACTGGACAGCGAGGACAGCTTCCAAGACCGGATGTGCGGCAACTGTTGAATACCAGCTGGCTGGTTTGTCAAGCTAGAACTTATAACACATTTCAGTTGTGTTGATTTGCGCAATTGTTGGTCAGTATTTTTCATTGATGCTGATGAGATACGAATTGTAAAAATGACTGGTGCAAAGGCAGGATAAGAAGCCGGGCTGCGATGCACTTGGAGAAGTTTGAAGTGCTTTTATCAGGTCTGTCTATTTCCGAACAAAGACCTTGCTGACGTATGGTGCAATCGGATACAGCCTAGGGCCGCGATAAGATAAATCCACGTTAGAGTTCAGCAATACATCGGTATATGATAAATCATGCCTTCATGGGAACTGAATGGATCACTTATCATGATGGTAGGCTAACCCTTTGTAAACGTTTTTATGTCGTTCGGCCAATACTACGGCTTAGGAAACCATGAAGAGATATAGACAGATATATTCATTGCATTACATCACAACATGGCTCCATTTCATCACAAATTACGCCTCTGGCAGTTGGTTACTGTGACACCTCTGTAACAACTGAGCACTCTTGACCAAAACAACATCCCAGTGCCATCCCAACGTTCTTTCTTTCCACATGAGCCGCTCTGCGTTTTACCAACACCACTAGCCTGCCCTGGCTCGTTTCATTTCAGTCGCCACCTACCTCAAGACCTCGACGCGCTGTCTTCCACCCCGTGCCTCTTTCCCCTCCTGACCACGCTATCTAACACGTCCTTTTACCGCCCTCTCTAGTCTAACTGTAGTGACCATCTCCTCCAGTCTCACTGACCGTCTCTACCGTCCCTCAGCCGACGCCAACCAGACGATCCGCTCGCTGTCGGACGAGCTGGCCAGCCGTGTGGACGAGCACATGAGAAATCAGGAGGAGGTCACCTGTCTCCTGGCTCAGGTAAGGATAGCCGTGTCGACGAGCACATGAGGAACCAGGAGGAGGTCACCTGTCTCCTGGCTCAGGTAAGGATAGCCGTGTCGACGAGCACATGAGGAACCAGGAGGAGGTCACCTGTCTCCTGGCTCAGGTAAGGATAGACGTGTCGACGAACACATGAGGAACCAGGAGGAGGTCACCTGTCTCCTGGCTCAGGTGAGGATAGCCGTGTCGACGAGCACATGAGGAACCAGGAGGAGGTCACCTGTCTCCTGGCTCAGGTAAGGATAGCCGGGTGGACGAGCACATGAGGAACCAGGAGGAGGTCACCTGTCTCCTGGCTCAGGTAAGGATAGCCGTGTGGACGAGCACATGAGAAACCAGGAGGAGGTCACCTGTCTCCTGGCTCAGGTAAGGATATAGTTCTTCAACTGTCTTTCGTTTGCATATCATCCGCAATGGCCGTTCGCCACATTTTGTGTGTGTTATGGCATGTATTGAACGAAAAATGTTTCCGTCGGGAATTTAATGTCAGTCGAGGACATTGGCCATTCCCACTGCTCCCATTTGAGCGGACTGCCCTCCGCTCTGTCTGACGCTCTCCCCTCTCTCCCGTCCCTCAGCTGGTCGACAGTCAGAGTCGCGCCAAGCGGCTCTCTCAGGAGAATGACGAGCTGCAGAGCTTCGTCAGCGCCTCGAAGGAGGCTCAGTCGGAGCTGGCGCTGGAGCTGGCGGACCTCAAGGACAAGTACGCTGAGCTGCAGGCCATGTACCACGACGCCCAGCAGCTCATACGGCGCAGAGAAAAGAAGGTACGGGATGCAGGAGCGCTACGGTGACATAGAGAAGGGGTGGTTAGGGGAAGGGAAGGGGACACGGAAGGGACGAGCAGCGGTACAGTGATAAGAAACGGGAGGGAAGGGAAGGTTTTCCCAGATTTTCATCCCTTTCATGCCTTCCCAGAGACAGCGGAACATCTGTTTATCAAAGTAGTGTTGGAGTACGAAAAACAAAAGATGAATGATTAATTCAAATAATATGAGTTTATACAATAAACCATTTGATGGCGGGTGTATGTAATATGTATTGTATATCCATGTGTTGTGTTTTAGCACATAAGTCCGTCGCCCTTGTGCCTCTGTCAGTATCCCATCTGTGTGCCTGTACGTACCCCTGTCATACACGGACTGCCCTCTTTCTGACCACCCCTGTCCCCCGCCCGTCCCCAGAGCGCCTCGCAGCGGAGCAGTTACCTGGGCGGCGTGGGCGGCCAGCCCGACTCTCTGGCCTCCGAGCTGGAGTTCTCACTGTCCTCTCTGGGCTCGAACGACTCGGGCGTAAGCCCGGCGCTGGGTATCAGTCCGTTCGGCGCACCGCCCTCCCGCAGGTCAGTGGATAATCTTAGTTGTCAAACACTGCAACCAGGTCAGTTGCCAAAATGTTCGTGTAGCTCATTTTTGTAAATGAAATACCAATTTGTGATTGCGTCTAATGTTTTGTATTGATGTGGGTTGCGTTACACTTCTCAAAATAGAGAAGTTTGTGGTTGCATGAGTCTGGTATATGCACTTTCCGCGATCTCTCCTAGTATCTTACGTCTTCTGGTCCATCCTCCGTCCCAGTCCCCGAATCTGACCCTGTGATCTGACCCCCTATTCCCCTCCCGACAGTACCCACAGTACGGCCACTGTGGTGAGCGCGGCGCCCTACCGGTCGGCGTTCGACACGGTGCGCTGTGCGCGCGCCGTGGCGCCGACACCGGCGGCCGGTGACGGCTCGGCGGCCGGCGGCGGCGTGGCCTCCCTCACCCAGTCGACTGGCCTGGTGTCGGCGTCGGCTCCGGCCTCTGTGCGCGTCAGCAGCCGGGTGTGGGGAGCCGGTGCCGGCGCTGGGGCCGCCCCTGGAGCTGTGGGGACCGGCGCGGCGGCTGGTGGCGGCGACTCTGGTGCCTGGATGCAGGACGGGGCCAGTGTCACCAGTGACTCCGAGTGCAGTATTGAGATGGACGACTGCAGCGAGCTGGAGTACCCGTGAGTTTGGGGAGAGGAGGGTCTGGTGAGGGAGGGGAGTGTCCCGTGTGGTTGAGGAGGAAGGACGGGGTGCGTGAGTTAGGGACTGATTGGAGGGTCTGCGAGTGGGGAGGGAGGCGAGGGAAGATCCCGAATCAGTGATAAAGCTCGCGGTATTTAAACTCGCTCTGATTCCATCCCGTGTAAAAATTCCAAAGGCGTGTATCGTGGTTCCTAAACCCGTCCCGCTCAGTGTTCCAGCAGGATATCTCGCACTTTATCTAACCCTGTCCCATGCCCTTCCAGTGGGATATCTCGCGGTATCTGAACCCGACCCGTGCCCAGTATCTGATCCTGTCCCTCTTTGTTCCAGTGGGATATCTCGCGGCATCCCCGGAGTGCCCGGCTCGCCCGATCTGCGCGCTGCCCTCCACCGGCTCGGCCCTGGCTCCAAGCTCGGCTCGGACGGAATGCGCACACCGGAGAGCATCATGTCGCTGGGCTCGAGCCGCGGCTCGCTGGGCGGATCGCTCGGCAGTATGGGCTCATCGTCCGGCTCCGGCTGGAAACTGCCCGAAAAACTGCAGGTGGGTGTCGGCGAGGCGCGGGGAGATGCGGCTCCAGCGCTTGTGGAGCGGCGAAGTCTGGGGTAGTCTGGTTTACTGGCTTTCGATCGATGGCTTCTTAAGTTTGCTTTAGAAATATTTCATATCCGATATTTTTGCTTCACATAGCTAAGGTACTAAGATGTATTTAATAATTTTCTGGACCTGTCATCTAAAGCATGCATCGCACTGCTTATTCATAGGATTGCTGAGCGAATTACAGAAAGTCCATGTTCTCTGACTGCCTCACTCCTCACTGTGCCTTGCCATGATTTGATTTCGCCCGGTGTCCCCCCCCCTTCCCTGCGTCCCGTCGCTAACCCCGTCCGTCTGTTCCGCTCAGATCGTGAAGCCGATGGAGGGCTCCCTCACGCTCCACCACTGGTCTCGGTTGGCCACGCCGCACCTCGGTGGTCTCCTGGATGCTCGGCCCGGGGTCAGCAGCCGCGGCGAACGCTCTCTGGCCGAGCTGAGCAGTGGGGATGAAGGGGACGGAACGTCATCAGATGAAGAGGACCCGGCCGTGTCGTATAAGGCGCCCACACTCACCGGGGGGCTGACGTTTACGCTGACGAATTGTACGGTGCTGCATCCGGACGATACGACGCAGCTGACCAGCAGGTGAGGGGACTGGAAGGGATAGACTAGGGGGTAGAGGGACATTAGTGGGGTATAGTTGGGCTGCTAGCCTGCTACCACCGCGGTTCCCGAGTTCATGGTGATTAAAAACGACTTCCTGGTTGCAGTTTAACCCTTGGGATGGTTAACAGCTCTTGGAATACGCGCTTTAGGGATTGTCTTGACTGACTAGGCGTTGAGGTAATGATTTAGTTTTCAGCGCATTTCACTTTTGTTTGGACTACAGGAAGGCCGAGTCAACTGGGTTGTGTGATTTTGTGAGACACTTTGTCGCTGGCCGTTTTTGAGCACTAACGCCACTCTCTCCTCTTTCCAGTCTGCAGGGCGGCCAGATGTCCACCCTGCCCGTGTCGCTCTCGTCCTCTGCCTCGGCGCCGCCGTGCTCCTCCACTCTGTCTCGGCGTGCCTCGGCCGCCTCCACCTACACATTCAGCACACACCTCGGCCTGGCGCGGGCGCTCCACGAGCGCGGCCTGACACCGTCGGTGGCGGGTTCACCGCCTCCCAGCGGACTCTCTACTCCGGCTAACAGCCCGGAGACCAGCCGACCGGGCAGCCCTGCGCCGGGCGCGCCGGCCGGCAGTCCGCCACAGCCGGCGCTCTTCAAAGGTCAGCAACGAGGTGGGTCAAACGACCACCCGGCTGAGGGGGAAGGGGGATGGGGAGATGTAGGTTCATGAGTCTGCTTGTCGAAAGGTTTTTGAAAAAGTTTTAAAAGCTGGTTGACGTAAAATTATCGATGCTGAACTGTCTTTTGAAAAGTTGGGATAGTTCGTCATTGTTTGTTTCACTAGTGACGTATCGGGTTAAGTATCTTGACAGTCTTGTTGCTGTTCTCTCCGACATACCGTTTTCCGACCGCGCAAAGTGTTATCTATCTGACATTCTGATTTGAACACACTTTTCGCCCTCCCCAGTCTCTGTGACATATTCCAGATCCCGTGTCTATCGTTCAGCACGCTGCTCTCTTCCCCGCAGGTCTGATGGACGTCGGCAAGACGCTGTCGCTGGGTGCCGAGCTGATCCGTCGCACCTTCTCCCCTGGCGATACGCCACGCGCGCCGTCCTACTCGCGGAACCAGGAGCCACAGCGCGAGGAGGCGCCGGCGGACGGCAGCCCGGCCGCCCGCTCGCCGCTGAACCGCCGTGTCCGGCACCAGATGTCACTAATGGAGCGGCTTCAGCGGATCGGTCTGCAGGGTATCCTGGGCGCCGACGGCCAGCCCGTGTCGGCAGCTCGGAGCCGCGCCGGTGTGGGTATCGGTGCAGCGGGCGGAGCCATCACCCGCGGTCAGCTGGGCGCGCCCGGCCGGCCCGGCAGTGGAGCGCTGAAGGGTCGCCTGGCGCTGCTCGGTACGGTGCAGCAGAGCGGGCGCGGCAGGGCCGGACGGGCGGCCGCCGCTGGCCGCGGCCGCGCGCGGCACCTAGAGGACTGTGTGGGCACGGTGGGTGTGCTGGCCGCCGGCAGAAAGGGCGGCTTCTTGTGATTGTCGGAGCGGTCCGCGGCGGCCGGCAGGCCACGGTAGACGGGTGACGCTATTCCAGTGATCCTAGGAGCCAAAGGCACGCGAGCTGCGCCCCCAACCCTAGCTGTGATTTGACGCCGCTGCAACGGCGAGGCAGCGGGGAGTAGTCACTCAGCTGTACTTAGGCTTTACAGAGAGTGAGAGAGGTCTGTGAGCCCCAAAACGACACTCAGCTCAAACGCTGACTTGTAGAGCTGGGTGGATAAATTCACCCGTGCAGAGTTGTTTGCTCACATTCAAGGTGATTTTAGTGCGGTCGCTTTTGATGAATTTCCCCTGCCCTCCTTTATGACTCGCTTGATCGGTGCAATATGTTTGAGAGTAGTCTTTGTCCGTAGTCCGTGATCGTTTAAAGCTTTTGTCGCGTTGTCGTTGGTCATATTTTATACTAGTTATTTTTACATGTGATGTCATTCAGGAGTAGCGGCGGTTTGTTCAGTTTTAATGATCAAATCGACGGGCCAGAGAGGCGAGCTTCCCGGTACAAACGGCCACCAGCACAGCCCGTTTGTGTGCGTGTCTGCGCGCGGCCATCCATCGAATTGAGAGACTCGGGGTTCGAAATCCGCCGGCGCTCCATAGTGAACTGTGTGCGTGTCTGAAATATGAATAAACATAGATGGACTTGTCAGTTCTGTTTGGAATTGGAAGTGTTTGCGGAACGTTCTGACCGGTCGGAGAATGGCCCAGTGGGAAAGGGCGTCAGCCTCATAACTCGGAGGCAGCGAGTTGTTGTTGTTGGTCTCCCCGGGTCGGCTCACGGCCGACCGTAGCCCAACGGCTCTTGGTGACTGAGGTAGCCGCGGCTCAAGGCCGCCACGGCCCCGCCGTCCCGAAGCTGCGTAGGGTCCGGTCTGATATTGCCGAGTAGGCGGAGCCTCGCGCCAGCCAAGCACGGGCACCTCAGCAGCACGTGCTCCGGCGTGTCTGGGCCCTCGCGACACACCAGGCAGCGCGCCGCCGGGCAGGCCAGATCACTGCACTGTGGGCAGTCGCGCTCGGGGCGGCGTCCGATTCTGTGAAGGTAGCTCTGCGAGCGGCTCCAGTGTCCCGCCCGCAGCTGGTGGACGTTGACCGCCTCGTCGCGAGACTCCAGGAGCACCGGCATCGGCATCCGGTCTCCCATGATGGTTTTGAAGAAGCTGTCTGGCCAGCTGCGACGCCATGCCTTGGTGGCGGAGCGGCCGACTGCCTTCACCATCGAGCGGACGTCCGTTGGGACGGCGTCTTGCGACAGGCTGGATGCCTCTTTAGCCAGTACGTCCGCTCTCTCATTGCCGGGTATTCCGCAGTGCGCTGGGATCCACTGCATGAAGACTCGGCGTCCTCCGTCCGTGAGCGCCAGGAGCAGTCGCCATACGGCGGCGCCGAGTGCTGTCGCCTGGCTCCCAGCCCCACTCGCCAGTGTGGCGAGCGCCGCCTGCGAGTCGGCGCAGACGATGACCGGGCTCTCCGCCAGGCCGCCCTCCAGCCGCAGCAACATCTCCAGTGCCCCGCGGATCGCCACCAATTCGGCGCGGGTGCTGCTGCATATCCTGCCCGCAGGGGCTCGGAGCTCGTGTTCCTCGCCTGAGGGGAGGATTATCAGCGCTCCACTCCCTCCGGCTGAGACACCTCCCTCCGCCGAGCCGTCGCTCCACACCCATACGGCGTCGTCTGGGAGGGTGGCCAGATGCTCCTCCGCTCTCTCCCGCCGGACGTCGGGTGGTGCTGTGCGGCTGATGTGGTTGCCGATGTCAAGTCTAAACTGGACCCTGGTGTCATCGATCCACGGCGGGATGGTGACGTGCAGGCGCTCCTCCACAGGTACAGTGGGTCTATTTAAGATCTCCAGAGCCACCACGTGGCGCTACGGTCGGGGTAGGGCGAGTCCAAATCCCGAGGGGAGCGAGGTCACCGGTCATTGTGGGGGAAGGAGGGAGGGGGGGGGGGGGTGACGCGCTGCTATCGCGGCGTGGAGCGTGCGTAGCGCCGGGAGTGGGCCGCCCGCCAATGCGCCGCGGCTGAGGGGAGGGGAAGCTGGTTGCGGGTGCGCTCCCTCAGGTATGGTGGTATCTCGGGTGCAGTGTCCTGAAATTGATTTTTAGGAGAGTGTGATTGAAGCCGCAAGGACGTCAGTATTTCAAAAGGACGTCGATATCGGTGCGGAGCCTCAGCCACTGAAGATCCCTTAAATCTCTTAAAATTAGCGATTTTCACTAGCAATTTTGACTAATAGCATCTGAAGGCACCTCAAAGGATCATATATAAACACAAAGTAATGCCAGTTTACCCCTAGTACAATATAAATTTCAATCATTCACCACAAACACCAAAACAACACTTTGAAGATGTCTAGTTCTTGTCCATGATCGTACACAAGTCAATAACAAATATGCTTCAACAAAAATCAGCCCAAGAGCCAGCGGCTATCACTAAATATTGACGTCATAAGAGGGATATTATATCGAGCAAGAGGAGTGACGTAAAAAAGCAGACGTCCAAACAAAGAGGTGGAAAACCGTTAGGAATATTAATTTCCATAGCTTCCTGTTATGAAATTCAATTAAGAAAACTCCAAGGTAGACGCTGAATTTTTCTTGGCTGGAAAAAATGTGAAATCATTGTGCACTTTTCAGTTTTGTACCGACGTCGATTTAATGGGAATGACAAGGTCAATCGACGTCCCCAACATTACGTGCATTTTTTAAGCCAAGGACGACATACTTTAATTAAAACTGTTGAAATTCGGTAACTTTATTTTAATTCAAATAAATAAACACAAACTTTTTCCCCAACCACTATCAACATATGCAAAATTAACTACTTTTGAAGGGTAGGTTCAAGGGGCAGCGCTACCCCGTTACTGTGACCTTCTGAGGGGAAAAAATAATTAAATATGTTACAGTGATTTGATACAAAAGGTATGTTGTGTGCTTATAGATAAATGTCGAAGTAATATATTCGCATGATTCATTTTTATCTATACACTGCACAGTTACTAAAACTGAAAAGTGGAAAACGACGTCCTCAGATCCCTCTATTCCAACGTCTTTTCTCCTTCATATGGCAGCTATTACCTTCACATGATAAAGGAAAAAAACTATACATATCTGACGCACAGAAAACGAAAATAAAACCGCGTTGTTTACTGTTGGGCAGTTGGCCAGCGGTCTATGGCCTTGCCAGCGGTGTAGGAAACGGGAGTTGAGTATAAGAGTGGGTTTGTGAGGCCTTGGGGTATATTTATTATCATTTTGCATAGCTGTGTTTTTAGGCCACAGAGGTGATATTTCTTTTTGTTAGTTTGCTTTTAGTGTTCGATATACCTGTCGACTTTTATCTGTCAGGGACGTCGTTTGGCTTTCCGGGACGTCGCAAAGAGAATCTGTTCGGGTGTGGGTTTCCACCCAAATTCACGAAAATCAGGACACTGCTCGGGTGGTGTTTCACCACTGATATCTGCTGACGTCACACTTGTGGTAGTGTTGGAGCAATGGGCTTGTTGACGTCTCCGTGGAAACCCAATTTGACACGTAGTAATAGCAGCGTCCTGCGATCGCCGGTGAAACACCACCCTGTTCATGTGAAGCCAGCAAGAATGCGACTGAAGGGAATAGCTATCTCAAACAAACGGGCAAGCGAAATGCAACGCCTCAAACTTGCAGCAAAAATGTTAACCAATCATAATTGAAATCGAGGACCTATACTTTCAGTCGATCCTTGCATGATGTGTAAGGCTTTTCTAAATTTATATTCAGTTACATAATTTCTTTCATTATTTGACACGCTCAACCATGATGGGTTTTTATCGGATCGAAAAGAATCACGAGTTGAAATGGGTCCAGAGAAACGACCAAAAATAAAAAAATGAAAATTCATGAAACTCAGCAAAACATTAAAATAAATATATAGGTGCGACAATTTTGACTTTGTTAAGAGGATAGGGGAAGTTGGGGCAATGCCGGAGTTGGGGCAAAGCCGAAATTCGAGATATTTCGAAAACCGTAAGACATGGATGCCACCTTTCAGTGATGCTCTGAGGCTTAAGTGACTACAATTATCGCATGTTTGTTACGAGTCGTCATTCGGAATACTTCGGCTGTGAGGGCGCCAAGAGCGTTTTCAAGGTACGCGTTCCTTGTACTACATGCGCCTTTGAAGCTGCATTTCTTACTCATTATGCTACCGTTTGTCTGGCCAATTCGGTCAAGTAATCTTCAGCATGTCTTTGCATAAGTGTGCTGCCTATTTGAAATTTATACGGCACGTTGAAAAGTTATGGGCCTGCAAATGAAAGTATGGCTGGCTGGGGTAATGCCGAAAACGTGCAATTACGCACGTTAAAGCACGCTACGTGGACTTTACTGCTGTAGAATAGCAACGCGAATTTTTAGTCACACAAATTACACTTTCAACCGACACAACGGCCTGTTACCTATAAGGATTTATTTACCTGGCATTTTCTTATTATATCACACAATTATAACTTCCAGTGTGCACCAAGCGTCCTCAAGCTCTTAAAACGCGTGTCAGCTTTGATAAATTCTGGATAAAGTTTGAGATAAAGTGGCAAAACATCAATGTCGGCATTCCCCGTAGATCATTTCTCCCATTTTCGGCTTTCCCCGCAGTCCGGGGCAACGCCGAAAAAGTCACTTCTTTGATATTTTTAGTTTGTGCGCTTAACGGTATGCGAATTCATCAAATGCGCCTGGTATGTTTGAAAGGCAAAAGACTGGCCTCTCGAATGACGCCAACAAGAATAGCTTATGTTGTCTACCTTGCGTGCTACGGGCGTCAGAAAAAAAGTATTCGGCGTTCCCCCAACTTCCCCTATCGGGAAAGATAAATCACCGTGCTTGTCAGTTGTCAGTATTGCAGTAAAAGGAAAGGTTTTGGCTAGTATCTAGATAAAACCAGAGCCGAGTGGGGCTCGAACCCACGATATCGCACTCGGCACACAGATCACCCAGCCCCAACGCTACGAACACCTGTCGCCCTGCGTCCCTGCGCAGCTTGCTGGATAGTGTTTCGGCCAAAATTATTCGTTGAATGTCTGACGTCTGTGAATGTCACGAGGCCAAGCCCAAAGGTAAATGAGGGAGCCGAACCAGGTGCTGAAAATGAGGCCGCCGCTTTCTGGTCCCGGCGTTTTATTCTCCGGGTGGGTTAGCCCCGTTGAGCGCTTAGCCTTCCGGGACCCTCTCAGAGCCGCGGTTGTTTTCGCCGCTCAGCCCATTCGAGATGCAAAGTTGATAGTCACACGAACTTTATTTGAGGCCCCAGAATATACGACTTCGAAGCTGATCGATTCTACAGAACCTTTTTCTTTCATCTAATGCATACATTTAACGGTGACTCCAGACTAGGCTGGTTTGGCTGGCCCTAAATAAGCTTCGTGTGACTATTAACTTTGCATCTCGACTGGGGCGCGCGGCGAAAACAACCGCGACCCTGAGTGGGTCTCGAAAGGCTAAACGCTGGACGGGATTAACCCGCCCGGAGAATAAAACGCCGGGACCAGAAAGCGGCCTCATTTCCAGCAACCGTTAGGCCGGGTTGAACCAGGCTGGACCGGGGTCTTACACCCAATCATGATCATTGATCATACAAAACAGAAGTTAGTTTCGGGTCATATATTCTTATGATTTTTTTATTGTTTAACTTATTTTGGCTTAGTTTTTTAACTCGAAACCTTATACCTACACAAAAATGCGATACTCGTCCACTTTTTCTCATCCCCTTTTAGCGACTAAATTTGACCTTAGTCCGATGTGACCCGTCATAAAAAAAAATCGCCGGCCATGACAGTTATTTGTCAATAGGCGCTCTACGCAAGAAACACCAGCCAGTCCAAAACTGGTGAAGGATATTTCTTGTGCTGGAACTATCTTCAATGAAAATTTCAGGCTATATTTAGAATCTTAATCCCTTGAGCTACTCGGCGCTCGGAGCATTCGCTAGTATTCCACTGCCAGCTGCATTATCAACATCGCAATCATTACCAACAATAATACCTATAGCATCATGCATTACCAGCATCACATATCAATATGCAGTACTTTGAGTGCGTCATATAGGTGACAATAGATAAACCGACCACGGCAAACCCATGCCTTTATCCTTTTCTTCCAAGCAGCCAGGCTACGGGCCGCCAGGCCCGCCACCGCGATATGGAACAGCGAGCCGGCTGGAATGCGTCATTTGCCTGCGGCAGCGCCCAGCTGCGCCGGGGCTGTTTGACAGGTAACCCGCACCGTGACCTCGCCCCTCCCCACCTCCCCGCCCGGCCCAGCTCGGTACTCTACTGACCTCCCCTTGAATTTGACATGGACTCGACTAAGGCTCAACGCCATCTAGTTACGTCTGGAGATCCTAACTAGATCCACTGTACATCTCGCACGCCCGCGCTCACCAGGGCGCGCGCTCCCGTGTCGCGCCAGCCGGTGGTGGTGCGGAGCCGCCGTGGGGCCGTTGCTTCGGCCACCGCGCGCAGTGGGTCGCCGCTTCTTTGTGAGGCTGCCAGACAGCTCAGTCTGGCAGCGAGCAGGTCCCGGCGTGCTCTCACGGGAACCAGACCGGCTTCCGCGAGGAGCGGGTCCCTCGGCGTGCTCACGGGGCACCCGGTGATAACGCGGGCTGCGGCGCGCATCTCAATCTCCAGTAGCTCTACGTGGGACTCGGACGCTGCAGGGAGCCATGCAGCCGCCGCGTATTCCAGGGCACCGCGGATGTAGCCGTTGGCTACTACTCGCAGCTGTGGCTCCCGCAGACCCCAGGAACGTCCGGTCATCTTACGGAGCTGTGCGATCCTCGGCTTGGTCTTCTTCCGGACGCGCGCGCAGTGCTCGCCCATGTGAAGTTGCCGGTCCAGGGTTACACCGAGAAGGTGAAGGTGTCTCCCAGCGTCCACTCGTGCCCCGTCTACGTGGATGTACAGGTCCCGGGCGTCGACGTAGTGCTGCGACAGGGCTAAAACTTGCGTCTTGCTTCCTGCCAGCCGCATCTTCCAGTCGCGGGCCCATTTCGCTATGGCATCCGCCGCTTGTTGAGCCCGGTCCCTGGCTTCCGCTATCGTACCGCCGGAACACAGTGTTGCGGTGTCATCGGCGTACAGGAAGACAGAGGTGCCCGGGATCCGCTTCAGCGCCGCCACGAGGTCCGCCGACCACAGCGTGAACAGGGTCGGTGCGAGGACGGACCCCTGCGGCAGGCCAGCTCGGAATGGGCGGTTCCGGCTCCGTGACCCATTGACCTCCGCGCTTGAGTTCGCAGCTGGAGGACTCCTTACGCCGTTTGGTATTATATTCAGCCAGCTGGCAACTGGCGAGACAGCCACGCTAGACCCAGGAGGACCTGGCGTCAATCTACGCGCGGCACGATCGAAATTATTGGTGAACCGGGCGCGGGCGAGGTCGGGTGGTCGGGTGGTCAGTGGTGGGTCCGTGGTGCCATTCGCAACAAGCACTGATCAGTGGGGCACCCTGTTCCACTGCCATCCACTCGGACATTCACACCTTTCCGTGCTTCTATCCTCAGGACATCCTTCCTCCTTCTATCCTTCTCCTCCACGCCGCAACTCCCCTCCGGGCTGGACAGGCAACTTTATCTCATGCGGTCTGCTCCCTTGGAGCGGCACCGCTGCTCCCGAGGGAGCGCACCCCGTAGCCGGGTGCAGTGAGTGCCTTGGTGCTGGGTGGCCTGTCCTCTGGACGGGCTCAGCCCCGGCGACTCACTAGGGTGCCTGCCCAGACCAATGTCTCCCCCTTTATCCTATCATCCTCCCGGCTCTGAAATGGTCTTGCCAGACCGAAAGGGCCTAACCCAACAAAACAAACAAACAAAACACTCGGACATTAATTAATCTTTGAGAAGAAAAAACGTGCGCCCGATCTACCAGCCCTCAAAGAGGACCGAAGGGCCTGATAATTCGTGTCAGACTCAGTAAATCATGGTATGGGTTCATAACTGAGTCAAAATATGATTGTTGGTCCCTCGCAAATTTGCATTTATTTCACAGCAGAATGGCAATTCGGCATGATAACAACATAGACTCCCAGCAACAGACCACATAGCAAAAGCGGCTCAAATCGCAGCATTCGCTGACCATCTCGAATCGCCGCCATTGTGGAAACATGTGTTGTGCAATCAAAAACATCGAGCACGCATCAAATAACAGCGACATCAACACTCGACTGTGACAGTGCCGTAAACTAGGGCTGATTGGATCAACGGGATTCATTGTAACTCTGCCTAAACAGAACTAACTGCTGTAAATAGACTGGCTCTCTGGAGTTGCTCGTATCTTTCAACAAAGCAAACCAGTCCGAACATGTAACTCTTCGGCAACAAGACTTTCAGCTTTAAAATAGTTATTACTTAACGGCGAAAATGCCGTCTAGCAAGTATGATCCTTTCCGAAGATAGAACTCTTCTCTGGAATGACGGTATCCGCCGTATCTCGACAGCTGCGATCGGCAGGCTTGGTGAAGAGCTCAGTCACGGAAGACCTCAGTCTCCGCAGTTCCGCGGAGCAGCAATGACCTGTCCTGAGTACCACGGCGGCGCGGATGGCCCCTCCGGGGCCGACCTGCGTCTAATCGTACATCTGACCGGCCGCCACCTTTTTCACGCTAAAACTGGCGCCGTTGATGTGGTCTAGCCGGTTAAGGTAGATCATCTTACCCACTAGCTTGCCGTTGGCGTCACGCCAAAAGTCGAACTGACACACGCCTGTGTTACAGATGGGCGTGGCCTCGGGGTTTTCCAGTTTGAGCGCTCCCAGCTCCATCATGAAGAACAGGGCGTAGCCATACAGGACGGCGCCGTGTGTCACGGCGGCCACGGTCGTCCGCCGCGGCGCCTGGCGGTCGGAGGAGGAACTACCTGATGTAGATGACGCTGCGGTCGACTCTGGCACAGTCTCGTTGACGATCGACTGAAAAGAACGGAAGATATAGCGTGTGAAGACATAGGTACCTGGCAGAACATGAAATTAAGGACTAAAAAACATTTAACAGAAGCGGATTGGTACTTGCGGATTGGTACTTGCTATCGACGAAAGCTGCAGGACATACACAGATCAGAATTAAGGTATGTAAGTACGTACACTTGAAACTGAGAGAACATTATAAACTAGGAACCTATATGGGCACATTTGACGGACACGAATTACGACGGATGCAGTGCAGTTGTCAAAGTTTATATAATCACAACGTATCACGGTTGATGCTACTAAAGTTATGCTTCAATCGTCAACTTATACGCTATAGCCTATGGACGTCACCAACACGAGTCTTAAACATGGAGCAGAGTCGTCATTCGACGTACGTCATGCATTATGCATCAGTGATGAATTTGCATAGCTGTGTGTCGAAACATTACCGTGGTATCCAATGTCACAAGCACGGGCGGAATGACTAAATCTCACCTGCGCACCTAGCCTGAGAACGTGTCTGACTCTGAACAGTTAAGCATGAATGGTCTTCAGCCATCGATACTAAACCTTCCATCCATCGTTCGCTGTCTTGTCCGTTCTCTCTGTCCCTCTGTGCATGTAAGTCCGTCTGTTCATGTGTTTGTCTGTCCGTCTGTTCGCATGTCCGTCCGTCCGTGTCTGTCTGTAATTCATCCTTTGTCCGTCAGTCTGTTCGTCTGCTCGTTCGTCCATCCGTCCATCCTTCCGTTCGTTCCTCCTTCACCCCGATCGGCGTTAGACTTTCAGCCCACTCGGTACCCACCCAGAAGAAGTCTGTGATTCGCTGGTGTGCACTCTCCGAGGGCTCTGTCTCTCTGTCTGTATGTCTGTCTGTCTGTCTGTCTCTCTGTACTTCCGTCTGTACGTCTGTCTGTCTGTCTGTATGTCTCTCTGTTCTGTGTTGGACAGTCTATCTGCTCGGTACATACCCAGAAGAAGTCTGTGATTCGCTGGTGCACGCTCTCCGAGGGCTCTGTCTGTCTGTCTGTATGTCTCCCTATTCTGTGTTGGACAGTCTATCTGCACGGCACGTACCCAGAAGAAGTCTGTGATTCGCTGGTGCACGCTCTCCGAGGGCTCGCCTCCCTCCGGAGTGTAGTGGTAGACGTCTTTGCCGGATTTCTGCATCATCTCGAACCATTCGGCCTCGGGAATGCCCTCACAAACGCCATAGAACTGTAAAAGAAAAAAGCGACATCGCCGTAATGGGATAATTCAACATGTTACCCGACAAAGAATGCAGATGCAGCCGGCACGGTGCAGGAAGGGGAGGAATGCGAAAGGGCGAGGGCAGCTACGAAGGTCTCACGTGGATGCTGTATATGGCACGGCGTGGAATGTCTAAAAGCAGGATAAAACCATAGGTGTGCGTAATTTCAATCTACAAACGATGGGGCAATAACGTTGCACACTTGTATCAACAAAATCACACATGCCGTCGCTTTGTTACACTTGGGGCGTTACGATTTAAAATATTGCACGGTGCATCGCTCGGTCTGACAAAAATCGCAAGTGTGCAACCTGAGCCAAAGCTACGTAGGTATATTCTGCTGGTGTTCCTCAATACACCCTGATCAATGTCTGCTTAGATACCCGTGATTTAACGATAAATAAGACTGAAGGTGACTAACCGTAACCAATAAATATTGGCCTGGAAGTCAATTTCACAAACGATGTTTTATCCACATTGAATGATCGCATGAAGGACTTGTTGCTGGCTTATCAATGGTAGTTGGCACTGCGTCGTAAATCTAAATGACGAACCGAGTGAAACGTCCCCACTTGAATTCGATTTATCCGAGTTACGTAAGTGAGAAATCCCAGCCAGAGTTATCAGCGTCTAGTCATTGCTGGGTGTGTTCAATGTTCAGTGACTTGCGCCACGAGTCAACAGGCTATAGTCTCAGACACAGAGTAACGACAATCACAGGGGTCGCTATCGGATCGCGTCTATCTATCTGAGAAATCGAAACCAACAGCCAGCCAGATAGGTACAGAGTATAGAGGTCACGGTCAACAGCTCAAGTTTCATAGGTTTCGACGCAAGTGAATGCGACTTTGCCCTTTGCCGAATGAGGAATCATCGAGTGTGACGCATGTCGTAACTTTCTTTCACCGAAATCGCGTGAGATTCGTATTCTGGTCATTGCGTCGGTCGAGGAAACAGGCCTTGACTGGTAAGTGATGACAAATCGAAGGCAGCGACCAGTGACCATTTTCTTATGATAATGGGCAAGGGATAACCAACTGGCGACGACCTGAGAAATGAGAATGTCATGGCCATGGAAGGAGTTTCTTAGTTTTCATAAGCATTTCTGTATGATTCGCAATATATCTGCTCAGCTGATCTGACATGAAACCTTCAGCTATGACCCTTGAATTTGTGCCTAAGCAGCGCTGCATTATTTGCTGTCCAGTGCACGGTCACAAGAATTTGTCCAGCGTCTATGACAGAGTTTCCCATTGCTGCCCGCATCAGGCAGCTCCCGCATCTATACGTTGTCCGTCTATCATGGTTCTGTTCGCCACAGCTGCGTTCCAACAGCCGCCACATTCCGAATGAAGCCCCACGATGGTGCGATGAGCCGCCGCAAGACACGCAACGCTCAGTTTCGTCAACGTTCAACACGCAACGAAACTGGGATCGGGATGCCTTTCCCCGTGACTCCGGCTGCCAGCAGTATTGACGGTAGCACTCCGGCTGTCAGAAATGAGAACTCACAAGTATACATGCATGACTATGATGGTAGCCAGCATGTGACTTCGGCTGTCTGAGGGTGGCCTGACATTGGCACCTGCCCCTAATGTCAGAGGCATCGACGGTATACGAACGGTATTGCACGGTAGCACGTGCATAAAAAACAAAGTCCCGGTCAGACCTCTCCTCTCCAATCAGTCCCTCCCCCAGTCCTTTGACACCCAAGCCAGCGGACCAGTGACACCCAGCCGGCTGAGGTCAGTGACCTGTGCAGGGGTCACCTAAGGTCACTACCCCACCGGACTGACGTCAGTGGTGCTGGTTGGCTTCAGTGTGTTTAGCAGGGTCCAGTCACTCCATCCGGGTACCACCCTAGAGGAAACTCAACACCCTGCCAATGTTTGACCGTGCAAACTGCAGCCTGCGCTCACTTGTTCGCGGCACCAGAGCGGCACAGGATTAACTTCGCCTATGATAAAATATTGCGCCTACACTCTACAGGTTATTTGCCCTTTAATTAACAGCCTTGAAAAGTTCAGTCATGATCATTTCCATAATCTTTCCCATAATTTTCAGAATGTTCAGTCACCTTTTCTATGAGCCTCGGGTCGACGATGACCTGTTGCCGGTCGCCCGCCAGTTCCAGTGCCGTCTTGTACGCCCGGATCAGCGGCGAAGAGTAGATCCGGTCAATGGGGATGTTGTTCTTCTGAAAACGGACAGATACTGTGTCAGCTTCGGGAAAATGGGAGCAGTCATCCGGTGAAACAAGTAACCGAGTGTAGCTGTACTGTAGCTATATCAATATTTCAAAATCCGTGTAATGTTATTCGTAAATTAGCAAGGTTGATTCGATGACAAACTAAGATCATATAAGATAAGACTAAGAACACTTGTGTAAAAGGGGTATTGATAATTTGTACGGTATGTAAATATACAGATAAATACATAAACATTTACACTTTACAGGTTGAGCATGAAATGGGTCCGAGACCTACGATAAATAGAAATTTCTAATATATCTTAGTCTAGCAAGAAATGAAGCCAAGGCAATTTTAACACATCATAATAATATGGTGATAGTAATAGAAAATCCATTTATCATAATAAATTGGATCGCAGCCGAACGCATTAAGACCACTGTCATTCGCAAGCCTGACCTTTGCGGGTGGCACCCGAATGAATAGCGCTATTAATATCGCCAAATCACGAGCCCCGTCCATCGCGCCTCGCTGTGAGTGACATTCAGCGTCCGAGCTCTCGACACCGGCGTGACCCGAAGCTGGATATATGGGCCGGCTCAGGGGCGCGAGATGGCCCCGCCTACCACGGGATGGATCAATATGAATGGCTGCACGGGCCGCGCGCGGTCGCGGTCGGTCGGGGTCGAGGTCGGCGCTAAAAGCGCAGCTGCGTTCACTTTGTCACCGGGAGGCTGCTCGGAGGCGACTCGCCAGAAAATCGATGGAGAGATGGGAGGTAAACTGAGCACTGAGCCTTCGAGAAACACGGCGAAGCGAAGAACGGAACAGCTTACAGCTCAGGGGTGGTTTTACAAGACTTACAAGACAGTTACAAGACTGAAAGCACTTCCACGCGAGAGTTTGGGACTGAGGATAGATACAGATGCAGCAGACATCAAACACATGTGAATGGACGTATGGACGAGTCACTAAGCAGCATGCATATGCTCGTGTCCATCTCGTCCTTTCCAAACGTATACCCCGCTCAACAAGTGCACAACAATTTCCATTGGCACGATATGCTTTGAAATGGAAACGGACGTCGTATCATGAATCACTGCACTTTATCTGATGCTCAATCATTGAATTTTCAGGGCCCATGGCCAAATGGGCCCATGACGACCGTAATATTGAGTATGTAGAGCGGCGTTATGAGAGCAGGGCTGCGGGGTCGGAGTCGCAGTCGGAGTCGGTCGGAGTCGACAGTCTTGAGTGGAGTCGGAGTAGGAGTCGGAGTAGTTTTTGGAAACCGGAGCCGGAGTCCGAAGAGTCACCGAGAATCCATCGACTCCGCAGACCTGGCAGGGCTGCGATATCGGAGCTGGAGTCGGTCAGAGTCGATAGTTCTGCTCGGAGTCGGAATCGGAATTGGTTTATGGAAGCCGGAGTCAGAGTCGGAGTCACCGAAAATCCATCGGCTCCGCAGCCCTAGATGAGTTGATATTACGCCGAGAAATATTTGAGAGCTGAGCGCTGGGAGCTGAGCCGGGAAGCGGAGCTGGTCGCTTTGTGGGGCGTGACACACAGCACCGACCACAGGAATGGGAGTGGTACGGGAGAAGCCAGACGACATAATTGCCTACAGTAAGCCAGACGACAGCTGAATCAACAAGAGGGCAAGTACACACAAAACACGAGCACATGTTTATTGTTTACTTAATAAACATGGTCCGCATTCCAACAACACTATCCTTCCCTACGTTGTGTCCAACGACAGACAGACAGACGTTTATTCGGAGCCTCCATACAATGGGTTTTGTGGCTTCCACGTCATATAGGTACAATGCGAAATAAAAATATAAAATATCTAGTTAAAACCACATAGCATAAGCACAAGCACACTAAAAACCACTAAACACCATTCCATTCCTTACTAGCAAGAAAAACGCCATACAGCCCGATCCCCGCCGTTCTATCAGCTCTCTGGGACTCACCCTGAAGTACTTTCCGAGGAGCTCCGCCTCCTGTTGGCCCTGTTCGGTGAGCGAGCTGTCTGTGCGGCCCGAGACCAGGTGCTGCAGGTTGCTGGTGCACTGGCCACTGACGGACACAAACACATGGGTTAGAACTTCAGAGTTGATGTTAATTATCTATCACCTAGTTGATTACGGCCTATCATGATGTTAATTGTTAGTCATTGTCAAGGGTTATATGTAGGGTTTTTTGACGAGTCATGGTGGGCGACCCTGACGCGCGGATTCCTAACTCGCTAATGACTCACAGCCGCTTCACGAGTCACGCTTAATTACCGTGGGGCAGAGTCAACGAGTCAGTCGATAAGTCAGTATCAGTGACCATGCGCCGTCAACGCCATGCAATGAACAAACTCTCTATATGACTTAAAAGACATGCAGGTAAAAATCGTTATCAAGACATCTATCAAGATACATAGGTAAAGCAAAAAAGGTACCTCGCGTATGAAAAAAAAAACAATTCGTGGTTACTGACATTGACTGCCACAGATGAAATTCACATGTCATAGGTATCTGACCGTTGTTTAGCTGCTATCATTTGATTATTTCCTTCCCGTTTTCCAGTCTATCTGCAGTTGCCGTGCGGAATTTGCCCTCGATTCCTGGACTCTGCACCGGAGCCGGCCTGGCCTGGAGGAATGTTTGTGCGTCCCTTGGATATACGACCAGATCATAATGTCCTGGTCAATGTCACATTTCTGTCACAGCCTGCCAGGCAGAGATAATAAGACGTCTGGGGTGACCGACCAGTTCCCCGGCATATGAACGGACATTTAGGTCTGGATATTGCAATACGATACCATGCAATGCTATTTGATTCCCACATCTCTGGCTATGTCAGAACGATATCGTGTTTCCAAATGGATGTCGCATTTCGGTAATGAGTCACGTTTCCCTGTGTGCCCTTGAGGGTGGCATCGCCCGGCGTTCCTTCGTTCCGTCGTTCGTTGACCCGGTGACAAGTTGGCGAGACTAGTTAGAAGTGAGAGCACCTCTGAGCGTTCCCTAGTAAGATATCCTGCTAGCCTCGAGGAGCCATGAGGCCTTGAGCCATGACAGGGTGAATAAAAAAGCGACGGTGTCCACCACGATCATAACCGCCACAAAACAAATGGCGTCTTCTCGGTCGGCGATTTGGTTCCTATTAATCAACAAATGGAAATTATTTTTTTTTTTAAGAAAATTTCAAACGAAACATTCATATGCCAATATCCCACCCATTGTATGCAAACGCATTTCCGTTGCTGAATCTGCTGCATTGTCCGAGCTGATTTACCAGAGCCACTGCTCACTGGGTCGATACCTGACTGGAGGGGCATATCGACAATCAACAGTTGAGTGCCGATCCAATAACTCGTTCTCTGAAAACACCATCGACCGCCGCGCCGTCGGCGCCGTCACTGTTCAGGCGCCCGGAGTTGACGTTGGTGATGAGCAGACGACACCCATTCTCACTTCTGTCGGTGCACGTGTACTTTGGAGACGGCCGATATGGCTAGCAAAGATAAATTTCAATGACCTTATCTCCCGACGATCACCTTGAGACTTTATCACAGCTGTCGGCAATCATTTGGCTCGTCTTGTCTTGTCTCGGGACTAGCTATACGCCTGTTACCACGGCACCCACCGGGGGCTCGGTGACCGCTGACCGGCCCCTGTGACCCCGTGACCCCAGTGACCTGGTGACCTCGTCGACCACGCCGAAGAGGTGTGACCCCTCGCAGTCACTCCTGATATCGTATCGCGCGCGCAGGCCGCCGCCGCCGCCGCGCGGGCCTCGATTACCTCAAGTGGAGATGATAAGGGCAATGCGACTTGCGCAGTCCCCATGCTGGTGGCTGGAGTGGCTGCTCAGAGCTCAGACGGGGTCCACTCTCGGGGTCGCGTCCCCGAGTCTAGCTGTGCTCCCAGGTTGATCCCAGGATCATGCCGGGTCCCAGGAACCTGCAGGGTCCTTTCCTTGACTCACGGGTGGGACCGAACTATGAGTTTGACTTTGGTCCCAAGATCAGGCCCGGTGCCTGAGCGTCTATATGGGCGGAGTCAGGGTACGAGTCAAGGCACAATGTCCGACTGAGTCCGCGCCTGGTCTTCGGGCTGGGTCCCGGTCTTACTGCCTGTGTCTGGCCTACGGGTCTGACTCAAACAGTTCAGGTCTGGCGTGGTCTGAGTCTGGATGCTATCCCAGCTGCGAGAGAGAGAGAGAGAGAGAGAGAGAGAGAGAGAGAGAGAGAGAGAGAGAGAGAGAGAGAGAGAGAGAGAGAGAGAGAGAGGAGAGAGGCTCTGTGCGGGGGCATACAGTATCGGGGTGATTGAGCAGCCACATAGACGTAGGCTTCGCTGGTCAGGTAAAACAAAAACAAAAAACAAAAACGGTAAAATTGACACTCAGACACCGAGGGTCAAGATCCTCCCATATCGGCATTTATGTGCTAGGAGAAGGTAGCAAGTCCCACCGAGCATAAAAGCACAGGCACACAATAATGGCAGTGCTGGAGACCGTGTGCCCCTTTACAGGAAAGCGAGCCAGTCACAACCGTTCCCGGAGTGTCGTCAGTCCTGACTACGACACTCCTGGGCACAATTCAGTATGACGAGGACTCTGGGTGGCTAAATATTCCCATTATACTTTTTCCATGTCTTTGGAGTGATATGCAGTTTCCGGGCCACCTCTGACTTAGCTGACCGTTTGTGGACCTGGACAGTTGGACACCTGTTCAGACTTACTCGTCAAGGTAGGAATAAGGTAGGAGTGAAAAGAGGATGTAAAGCCACATCACGCTCATATCCACTAATGGCGGGCGTGGTGACACCCGGAAGTTCTACAATTTCAGGACCATTTCATACGCTTCCGTGCTCACGCCCTATGTGAACAGCATGGGCAATTCGCGCTAATTTAGACCGGAACTACACTAAAACAAACACAATGTGAGGGGTGTGGCAGTACCATCCCCTCCCCAGCCCGATGATATCGCTTCGTTTCATGGCAGTAGCATTCAGACAATGCAGGGATGAATCAGAGCCCGTATGTGTGGGTGTTGATAACCCGAGCTTATGAGCCCGGGTTATGCGGGGTCCATAACGAGCATTGACGAATTGCTTGGGTTGTGTATCAGGCATACGAACATACATGATGACACAGGCTATCGAACAAAACCGTTTTAATGCCCCTGAGCATAGGCTCAACAGGAGTTCATTTGTATAAATTTCATTCGAGGAGAGAGGTCTTCGTGTTTATTCGGTAATGCTTTTTGTCTGAATCTAATGAGCAAGGGCGAGGCCCCAGATCAGCCACATCAAAGAAGGCATGGGTTGTTTAGGTCAGAATGAGATTATTTGCCTTCCTTGTGCCGCAGGCGTCTGACAGATGGCCTAAACAGTAAACAAGCCCAGCGGTACCTCCATATCTGCGGTTCCTGGAACGACTCAGACACAAACTGCCGAAGGACCGCCCTCGCTGCCAGGCACGGTAAGGATAATTTCAGCCGCGCGAATTGGAACGGGCCAACCATTTCACACAGCGATCTGAAATTTGAGCACCTCTTTTGGCTCGCCCCATCCCCAACGTGACTTGCAACAATTGTTTGAAACCGTGACGAGAGCCTCCAGCGGCCGCTGCACACGGTCCGAGAGCGTCATGGTGACCAGAAAGTAGCAAACAGCGTGCCGGTTAGTGACCAGCGGAGTGTCGTCATGGACCAGTAGTGCATTCAGGGACCAATTCAGTGTCGTCAGTGACCAGTGGTGTCGTCAGTGACCTGCAGTACTGTCAGTCACCAGTAGTGCCGTCAGCGACTAATGTCTTCAGAGACTGTAGGAGTGTAGAGCCGTCAGTGACGAGCAGAGTCTTCGGTGGCCATTAGTGTCGTCAGTGACCAGTGGTACCGTTAGTGACCAGTAGTCTCGTCGGTGACCGACCAGTGGTGCAGTCAGTGACCAGCAGAAGTGCCATCAGTGACTGTGTCGTCAGTGCCCAGCGCGGCATTGCCGGCCGGTGGCGACCACCGGCCGTCGCCGACCGCCCCCGTTGCCAGCCCCAAAGTCAAGGTCGGCTCCGGCGCGGGCTCGCCGCTGCCCGGCGGTCTAGGACCGGTCTGGGTAGTACTATCCTCCTCGCTAGCACAGTGTCACCGTTCAGAAACGAACTCGCTATGACTTAGGATGTGAGAAATACGATCGAATATAAGGTAACCTTTGACAGCAAAGGGTGACGAGGAGTTGCCACATGAACCGGTTTTGACGAGCGGAACCACGCGTGCCAAATCCACCCCTCCCCTACCAACAAAATTGAAATGAATGAAGTCGTCTTTTCAGTTTCTCCCACGGTGCAAAACACGTAGCGCTCTGGAAATGGGAGGGGACAAGAATGAGAAGGAAAGTGAGTCACATGCACTGTTCACTTTTCAATCACAGGGACAGAACTGGAAATTTATCACTGCAGGGCACGATTCGAATTTCGAAAGTAACCGCCAATATAACCCCGACTGCTCCAACTGCCCGCTCAGTCCCCAGCCCTGCTCCCGGTATCGGGACGGCGACTCAAACTCACTGTCTGATGAGCAGCAGGGTGAGCACGGGTCCGTTGGTCTCCGCCGGGTCCATGGCTGGTTCTCGCTGCTCACCGGCCCGCCACGCGCTCTCGACTGGCCGCCGCCACACCGCGAGCGACTGCTCTCTCCGCCCACCGCCCAGTATCTAATCGTGCGCGCGCCGGCGGCGGCCGCCGAGCCGGCCACACAAGGCCACGCCGCCCGCCCGCCGCCTATAGCGACAACATGCAGTGTCAGTGGGCGCGATGGGTTGCCCAGCTCAGCAGTACGGCTATGGTTTTTCATGACACCACGGTCATCAAACTTCCATCTCCGACCCAGGACGGCTCCATCGGAAAGCGCGGGCAATAAATCGAGGTGAGAGCTCAGCAAAAAAGCTCACACGGCACCGGCGGCCATTTTACCGCTCCGCCGCTGCTGCCGCCCCGCCCCCGGCCGGCCGGCGGGATGGGAGGGGAGAGGAGGGGCTGGGGCGGCCCGCCGGCCGGGAAAGGGCTGGACGAGTGTAAACTGCAGAGGTTCAGACGGCACCACGGGACCTGGGGGAAACAGGAAACAGGACACGGTCAGAAAAGGAAGGTGTCAGGTGAGCGAAACACGACCGTGGCGCTCCCTAAGAGTCAGCATGTGATTCACAGCCCACATATCACGTGAGGAATGTGCTGACGGTGCTGGCGAGCCGTCAGTGAGACCCAGACACAGCCAACGGTGTCATGGGAACTACCTGGTTTGAATCGGAGAGTATCATGGACCCCGCGGTCAGCATGCTAATGCCACCGCATTGCCTGGAGGCAGACCCCGGCCAGGTTGAAAGCCTACTGTAGTCCATCGTAGCGGTGAAATTCATCCCCCCGCCCTCTGCAGTCATCCAGTGGTATTTTCAGCCATCAGTCCTCACTCTCAGTAATTCCAACAGCTCCCCCGACAACCCAGTAAAACGCCAATATTTTGTACCAAGATCCCATTTAATAGGTATCTCTACAGGTCGAATATTTTACAAAAAACGAACACTATTGAGACAAATGTCTTATACATGTGAAAAAGAAGGGAGCCCAGGGCCACAGAGCGCGCGCGCTGGAGCCGGCATGTTCAGGTGCTCCGCCTCCGTGCGTGCCAAACAAAACATTGCGACTTTCGATATCCACGCGCAGATGAGTAAAACATTATGACATTCGAAGGTTCATATTGCAATGATCGTAAAAAGACGAATAGAAAATCACTGTGTCCATAAATGGAAAACTATAAATCGATTTATCATCGACACAATAACACCGCAGAACAATAAGAAAACTGACGAGAATCCATGCAGATACAGCGCATTGGCGTGCCACGCGCGCGCAGCCGCACGGGCTGAGCTAAGGGATAGGAAACGGTTCGCGCTCGCCGCTGCACAGTCACACGCTAGAGCGTCGCGCGCGCGCGCGCCTACGTCGCTGGCGCGTCGTCCTTATTGTCCGCGTCTGTCTGGTCACTATCGGCCGCCGCGGCCGGCGCCGGCGCGTCACCCGGCTCACCACTGGCGCCCTCTTTGTACGTCTCACTGTCGCCGTCCCCGGCGGCGGGCGCACTGCCGGCCGGGGCGGCCGCCGCGGCCGGCTCCGCCGCCTCCGCCGCCGGCGCCTCGTGCCGCTCCGAGGGAGGCGGCGAGGCCGGCGCCGGCGCGGGGGGTGGGGGCGGCGGCGCGGCCGGCGGTGGGTACGCTGCCAGCGGCACCTCCTCGGCGCCGGTGGTGGCCGCGGCAGCACTGACGGCCGGCTCTTCATCGGAGGCCGCCGCCCGGCCGCTCAGCATGGCCGCGTGCGCCTCGGCCAGCCGGCGCTCCTTGGCGTCCAGGTCCTTGTCCTTTGCGCGCCGCTCGCGCTCCATCTCGCGCGCCAGCCGCTCGGCCGCCTCCAGCTGCTCGCGCGCGCGCAGGTCCAGCGAGCCGTCCTGCTCCTTCATCAGCCGCTCGCGCTTCCGCTCCTTGAGCAGGTTGCGCTGCTCCTTGGTGAGGCCTCCCTTGATGTCCACCTTGTCTTTGAGCAGGGAGCGGATCTTCTCTCGCTCGGCACGCCGCTCGCCGCTGCTGCCCGAGCCGCCGGCCTCCTCCGAGGTGACCGTCGAGCTGGGCGTAGGCTTGGTGCGCGTCGACGAGACGGTGGCCGTGCCGCCGGGCGCCGCGCCGCTCAGACCGTTGAACAGGGACGACTGAGTCAGCAGCGGATTGGCGAACGAGGCGCCGGCCGGCCAGCCGGGAGGGCCCATCGGTGGGTACATGCCCGCCATGCCGGCCATGCTCTGCGCCGGGAACAGGGAGCCGAATGTTAGGCCGGCGGCTGAGGCGGCCGACGCTGCTGCTGCTGCCGCCCGCTTCTCCGCCTTGGTCTCGGCCTTGGTGGTGGCGTGGTCGGCGGCCGACATGGGAGGCATACCCATGCCCGGGTACATGCCCGGCAGACCCATGCCGAACATCATCGGGTTGTTCATGTCGATGCCCAACATCTTGGGGTCGATCCCATACAGTGGATGCTTGGGGTCGAGTCCCAGCGATTTCGGGTCCAGTCCGAGAGCCTTCGGGTCCAGTCCTAGGGCCTTCGGGTCCAAGCCAAATGCCTTCGGGTCAAGTCCTAACGCCTTCGGGTCGAACCCTAACGCCTTGGGGTCAAGTCCAAGCGCCTTGGGGTCCAGCCCGAGAGCTTTCGGATCGAGACCTAACGCCTTCGAATCTAGACCAAGGGCCTTTGGGTCCAGCCCTAGCGCCTTTGGGTCGAGTCCCAGGGCCTTCGGGTCCAGCCCGAGCGCCTTGAGGTCCAGACCGGCCAGGAACGGGTTCTTGGGGTCCATGCCGAAGTTCGCCATGAGCGCGGCGCTCTTAGGGTCCATACCAGCCAGCCCGGCCAGGTACGGGTTGTTCTTGGGGTCAAGTGACGCCAGAGCCTTGGGATCGAGTCCCTGTAGCAGCTTCGGGTCCAGCCCAGTCAGCAGCGGGTTGTTCTTCGGGTCCATGCTCTGTAGCAGCTTCGGGTCGAACCCGGCCAGCATCTTGGGGTCCATGCCCATGAGGAACGGGTTGGCGCCGCGCTGGCCGAGCGCCGCCAGCGCCTTGGGGTCCAGCCCGAGCTGCGCCAGCTGCTTGTTGTCCAGCCCCTGCAGCAGGCTGGGGTCGAGGCCGTACATGCCCGCCGCCGCAGCCAGCGCGGACGACGACGGGGTGGTGTGGGTGGTGGTCTGCGCCGGAGTCGTGGTGATGGACGCCATCGACGCCGCCGCCGCCGCCGCTGCCGTCGCTGACGCGATAGCCGCCGCCGTGGACGCCGCCGCGGCGGCCGACGAGGGCGCCGAGCTGCGCGGGGTGGATCGGCCGGCGCTGCCGCCCCCCGTGGACGAGCGGCTCGGTGTCGATCGCGCCGGAGACGTGGCCGACGCGCTCGACGCCGCCGTCACCGTCCACGAGCTGCCGCCGCTCGACTTGGACGCCGACGGGGAGGCCTTGGGCTCGGCCAGCATCTGCAGCAGCTTGGGGTCGATGCCCAAACTCACCAGCATCGCCGGGTCCATCTGCGCCAGCGTCTTGGGGTCCAGTCCGGCCAGCGCGGCCGAGGTGCGCGGGTCCATTCCCGCCAGCATCCCGAACATGCGCGGATCCAGACCGGCCATCATCTTGGGGTCCATCAGCATCTTAGGGTCCATGCCCTGCAGCATCTTCGGGTCCAGACCGAACATCTTGGGGTCCATCCCCATCATGGAGTAGAGTTTCGGGTCCATGGCGAGACTGGCCAGTGTCTTGGGGTCCAGTTGGCTGAGCACCCGCGGGTCCAGGCCCGCCGCGTACGGGTTCATCTTCGGGTCGAGGCCAGCCATCATGGCCAGCATCTTGGGATCGAGACCCATGGAAGCCATCGCCTTAGGGTCCAGTCCCATCGAGGCCATCGTCTTGGAGTCGAGGCCCATTGACGCCATCGTTTTCGAGTCCATCCCTGAGCTGGTTGACGCCTTCGAGTCGTGAGCCATCGAGACGGCAGCTTTCGGGTCCATTCCCAGCGAGGCCAGCATCTTGGGGTCGAGGCCCATCGCCGCCATGGCTTTGGGATCCATACCCATCGACGCCAGGGCCTTTGGATCAAGCCCCATGGAGGCTAGCACCTTGGGGTCCAGTCCCATGGCCGCCATAGCCTTGGGGTCCAGTCCCATGGCAGCCATCGATTTTGGATCCAGTCCCATCGACGCTAACGCCTTGGGGTCGAGTCCCATCGAGGCCATCGCTTTGGGATCGAGTCCCATGGAAGCCATCATCTTCGGGTCCAAGCCCATGGCGGCGAGGGCCTTGGAGTCCAAGCCCATGGCCGCCATGGATTTAGGGTCTAATCCCATGGCGGCCATGGCCTTGGGATCGAGTCCCATTGACGCCATGGCCTTTGGATCCATGCCCATCGACGCCATGATCTTGGGGTCGAGGCCGAGCGAGGACATCACGTTCTTTGGGTCTAGCCCCATGGCGGCCAGCATCTTCGGATCCATCATAGCCGCCATGGCCTTAGGGTCACTCATAGCCGCCAGCATTTTCGGGTCACTCATGGCAGCCAACATCTTGGGGTCACTCATGGCAGCCAGCATCTTGGGGTCCATGCCCATGGAGGCCATGGCCTTTGCGTCCAGCCCCATCGACGCCAGCACCTTGGGGTCCATGTACATCATGCGCGGGTCGATGCCGTACGCCGCCATCATCTTGGGATCCATGCCGTACAACAGGTTCTTGGGGTCCATGCCGAAGAGCGGGTTCTTAGGGTCCATCTTGCCGCCCAGGCCGCCGAACAGCGAGCTGCTGGTGGCGGCGCCCGACGAGCGAGACCCGGAGGCTGCCGAGGAGGAGGGCGGGCTCATGGGCGGCCGGCCGGGGCCCTTGCGGCGCTCCGAGCCCTTGGACGAGCGTGACGATGGCGAGGCCTTCTGGGCGGCCCAGTGTGGGTCCACGTCGTACATCTGGTTCTCCAGCAGCCACGGCGCCAGGTTCTTCAGCTGCGGCGCCGCAGAGCCAGACAGCTGCCGGAGAGCAGACAAGGCCGTTAGAAAGGCGAGACTGGTTGACACGTTGACAAGACGAGCATATAGACAAAACAGCTGTCACAGTGGCACGGCCAGTTACCCGGACGTGAATACCGAGGGGACCTTTATCGGAAAAAAAAAATCATGGGCAGGACCATTATAAATCATCACCATAAAACACATGACAACACATAACTAGCAGCATGGCAAAACTATGCAAACATGGTGCTGAAAATGAAATGGCATCGCCAATTTAGCATGTCCTCGAACAACCCATCACACTCTGTGACGTGTATTCAGCAGACGAGCACTCAGCAGTCAGCAATGCTCGCCGCTCCTCCTACATCTCCCCCCCCCCTCAGCCCCATCCCACGCTCCTCAGCCCGCTGACCTTTTTGCCGGAGAGCCGGTGCACCACGGGTACGGGCGTGTCCTGACTGAGACGCGACCAGTCCACGGCAGGTGGCTCGAACGAGGCCGGCAGTTTGCCTGAGAGGGCACCGGGCCGGTCCCGACCGCCGCTGGCCGATGGTGACGCCTTCTGCTGCGACTCCAGCCAGTTATACACCTGTGACGGGAGGGAGACGGACGGGGATGGTCAACCAGTCAGCCAAAGGGCGAGCAAACGCAGGAGACGAGTGTGTTGGGACGGAAACCGCGAACACATGGGCTCTATTCTGTAGCTATTTGTATACTCCACTCTCTTAGCAACTTTCCCAGTAACTTGATGCGATGATTTCGCGATGCAGTATGACACGAATCCCGGTTGTACTTTCAGCTAACCCATGACCGTGAATCAGACTATAGCACGTCCGTGTGCTGAAAGCGTATATCCACACCCTGGAAAGCTTCACTTGACGGCACGGCGACTTTCCACTTACAAACAGCAAACATCTCAAACACCTCGTACCCCACCGACTCCCTCCTCCCCCACCTCCAACCCCAGCCCATCTCAAGACCAATGACCCTCTCTCGCTCTCCCAACCCACCTTCGAGTCCGGTTTATGCATGTCGTGCGCGGGCAGTGCCGAGCCCTCCTGTGAACGCCGGCTGCTCCTGCTCAGTGTGATATCAGGGAAGAGGTCGTCTCGCGCGCCGTGTGCCGGAGGCGGCAGCTGCCCGGATGCGCGCGGCACGGGTGTGATGCTGACCGATGGCGCCATGTCGCGCTGTGAGACGGCCACAGATACGGAGACAGAGGTGGCCGGCGGGGCGCTGGTCGTCTTGGCGCACAGGCCCGAGATGATCGAGTCCAGTTTGCGCCGCTTCTTTTCCTTGCCGGTGGCCTCTTCACCCTGGCGGGACGAAAAGGAAGGATGTCACATCAGCGGCCACACCAGTGGTGGTGAGGCAGGGGACAGGCTGAGACCAGCGCTGCATATCGTGCACACTGGGCTGATGCTGAGCACACTTACATATAGGTCACTGGAGTAGGTCAGCTCAGTTTATTCTGAATAGTATTTATAAATTTCATGTAAACTGCTTCAAAACACCGTTTAAAGAGCCCCTGATTCAATAAGCTTCCTGGTAGCTCCTGTTAGCAACAAAATACGGAAGGCAGCAAGCGACTCCACCCACCCACTAAAATATTCAATCATTGTTCACATCCGCTTGATAATCCAAACACTCCCAAAATACCCACCAAGACAATATCCCACACCGTCCCACCACGCCAGCGCAGCCAACCGAGCCCAGCCAGCCTTCTCACTCACCGATCGTTTCTTGAGTCGGTCCAGAGTGGAGTCAAGTCGACTGCCGAGGCCGCTGGCGGGTCGGCCGAGCCCGCCGGCCGCTCCGCCCGACCTCAGGTGCAGGTCCAGCACACCGTCATCCGTCTTCTCGCTGTGTGGAGTCGACGAGCGGCTCTTGCTCAGACTGGGGGCGATTGGGTGGGGGAGGGGGATGGGCGGGAAACAGTGTCAGACCGGGATGAAATGAATCAACGGGTGGCTCTGATGATCGTCCATGGCGGGAACGCGGTCATGCACCAGCATTTAACCCCCACAAATAATGCGATTTCAACAGTCCTGCAAGCGTTACAAACACTTAACAGTCAGACAGTCGCGAATGGGATGCAGTTTTAATGTTGTAGGGGCGACCAGACTACGTCGATCATCGTCACCTTTGATATTACATTACAAGGTCGCATTTTTCTACGCCGCTACTACCAGCGAGAAAGATTTAGTATAAACCACACCCCAACAGCAGCCTGATCTGTCTGAACCAGACGATATCACAAAATATGAAATGTTCGCAAAGCAGTCAACTAAAATTTCTGCATCGCTGACGGTCTGTCGGGACAGTGCGACCCGGTCCGACCGGCACGGAATGCCGGGGAGTGGCGCTGCGTGCAGGTGCCAACCACAGTCAGGTATCCCAGACGGACACCGGACGGGTCAGGGAGGCTCCACACAGCTGAACCGGTCAGCACCCAGTCTCATCGCCCCACCGGCGGGCGCGCCCAACCGCTACACTAACAGGTGGGGATTAAACATATGTATTATTGGTTCAGAGAGATAGAGCTGGAGGAAAATGCGGGGTGAATATGCGCCTGAATCAAACTTCAGGCCAAATTGTCAGAAGCCGTAATACAATTTCGTCAGGGTAAGGGTCGGGGCAGATTTATACTCTAGAATGCCGACTGGGACAGCTGCCGCCGGGGTCACCGACCCGAGCCGGCGCAACGTAACCGGTCCGAATGCAGAACACCGAGGGAATGTAGCCGAACACCGAGCTGCTGCAGAGCGGTCAGAGCAGACTACTCGGCCGCGTCCCCGGCATCACGGCATAAACCAGCCCCAAACGGACACCGCCACCCACTGCATGCGCGGCGAGTCTGTTAACCCCCATCAACTTCAGAGCGATCCTATAGCATTGATGATCGACAATCGAACGCGCTCCGAATACTGGTCGCGGGTGGATTTTTGCTACCGACAAATTGACGGGTGTCTGTAACAGTCAGCCGCGTCGGCCCCTTTCTGAGACCAAATATGAATGCGCAGCTGTGACGTTCACCAAAAGGAATGCCGCCGGTCGTTCAGCTCCCGGCAGAGTCCCGACATTCGGGGCACTCTGCATTGATGGCATCCGGCTTGCAACGCTGACGAATTCAAACGGTCAAACGTAGTTTGAATGGTCAATTGAAATAAAAGGACTAATCGACTTGTAGATTGCCAGGAATTCAGTCAATCATTACAAAAGGGGACTATTAACCGTACCAAATGATACAATCTACTCTCTCAGTGAGCCGAGACTAGTTCTCTCCTCCCATCCTCTGCCAGCCCTCCAGCTCTTACCTGGCCGATAAATCCAACACGTCGTCTCCCTTGGCAGCCGAGCCGTGCGACGCCGGCGCGGCGAACGAGTGCGCCGAGTGCGGCGGGCCCGGCGTCACAGCGCGCGGGCTCTGGGACGCCGGCGTCTTAAAGCTGAGGTCCATGCCGCCGTGCGCACCGCCGCCACGCGGCCCGTGCTGGTGTGCCGGCGGCGGCTGGTGGTCGTCGCCGTGCGGCGGGGGCGGCGGCGGCGGCGGCGCGTCGTCCGACTCGCCGCAGCTATCGGTGCGCGGTTTGCCCGACAGCCGGGTGATGCTCTGGAGGTTGTGGTTGAGCAGCGCGCGCAGTTTGGCCCGCTCCGAGTCGGTCTCGGTCGGGCCGTGGCGCCGCTTCCTGCCGCGCCGGTCGGCGTCGTCGGCGGTCGGCTGGCGCGGCGGCTCCGGGGTCACCTCTGCCAGGCCGCCGGGACCGGACGATGAGCCGGCGGCCACCAGGTCGGCGCCGGCGGCCGCCGCTGCTGCCGCTGCCGCCGCCGCCCGCCGGCTGGTGCCGGGCCGCGACTCGTCCCGCGGCTGGCCCACACCGATCAGGCCGGGGTCGAGCGGGTCGGTAGGCAGCGAGGAGTAGTCAACCTTAGGCCACACGCCCGTCTCCACGGCGTGCACAATGTGCTGCAGCCGCATGTGCAGCGTGTGGTCGGACGGCCAGTGGATGGGCGCCGCGTAGTTCTGGTGCAGCATCTGGATCATGGCCGCCTCCTGGAGCACCTCGGGGTCGTACAGGTGGCCGTACTTGCTGATCGACTCCTCCATCTGATAGAGGCCCATCAGCGGCTGGGAGGCGGCCGGGTTCGGCAGGCGCGGCAACACCGCCTCCTCCCTGCCCGACGCGCCGCCGGACTTCTCCGCCTTCACCTTGGTCGGCTCGGCCTCTTTGGGGCTCGGTTCTGGCGCCTCCTTCTTGGCCGCCTTGCCGTCATCGGCAGTGACTTTCTCGGCCGGCGAGGCGTCTGAATCCTTTTTGACCGGCTCCTCGGAGCCCTCCTTATCGTCAGAGTTCTCCCGATCGGCCGTCGCCGGAGTTTCGCCGTTCTCCACGTGCTCACCAGCGTCGTCACCGTTACACTTTGGCTCTTCGGCCGGTGCCGGCGCCTCGGCCGTCTCTATCACAGGTTTCTCAGAGTCACCCGACTCGGTCTTTGTCTCGCCATTGTCCTCGGCTTCCTTTTCCTTCTCCTTGCCGTCCTCTGTCGCCTCTTTCTCCTCCTCCTCCTCTCCGTGTTCCCCGTCCTTGGTCTCACCATTCGGCAGAGCCACTTCTTTCTCCCCGTTCTGATCACATTTATCGGACTTATCCTCACCCTCCTTCTCTCCTTCTTTATCTACGTCCATCTTCTCTTCCCCTTCCTCATTATCCTTCTCCTCTTTCGTCTCCTGTTCACCCTCTGTCACGTCAGCTTTCACTGCAGTTTCCGTGTTCGAGTCCGCGTTCGCGTCTGCGTTCGTCTCTGCCTTGACTGCCGGCTTGTCTGCCGTGCCGTCAGCCGCCGCCTTGTCTTCGTCCGCACCGCCATCGGCTACGGCTGCCGGCACCGCGTCACGCTTGATGGTGGCTCGCCAGTCGGCGTACTTTTGTTTGTCCTTCCTGTCGACGAGCTTCATGCCCTTCATGTGCCTGTTGACGACATCTCGGAAGGACAGGTCCGGGTCGTGCAGGATGTAGAAGCCGCTGTTGCCGATGCCGTGCCTGCAACACACGGGGAGGGAGCGGGGGCCGGTCAGCCGCGGCAGCGCGAACGGACAGTGCCATCGGTATTGATTCCGTGTCGGTCGCGGTGAAAACCCGTACTGGTATATACCCGATAGGTGTATCGGTGCCGGGTGACCACAGCACGGCCGCAGGCCAGCACCGGCCCGAAGACGGACACAACTGAGCTGGTGTCAGATCAACGGACCCGCCGCCGCACACTGAACCCCGACAGGCCCGACGTCTGATCACCGAGCCGCCTAACACAAGTGTCGGTGTCTCCTCCCCACCCTCCCCTCACTGAGCTAGGACAGATGTATGGGCGAGTCGTTGCCCCTCCCCCCACTGGGACAGGTGGAACGTGGGTGACCCCAGCGCACCCACCACCCCATCCTACACGATCAATCGATCCTAAACGCAGCCCGTTAGACAGTACCGCCATCTTTCTGTCGCTGCAAGACGCAGGACTAATTCCTGCCTGCATAACGTAAACTCGATATCCATTTAGTCCAGCCGCGTCTCAGTGTCATCAATGGAAATGATTATTGCACGTCACGAATAGCACTTTAAGCCCTGGCGGGGGCGACAGTTCAATAACTCGGGCTGGAGCGTTCCACAGACGGTGATTAACGCAAACGGTCGACACCGAGCCACGTATTACACAAGTCCTGAATGGAAAATACCCAACTCAGGCAGGCGGCCGACTTCGGGCAAACACATCTATATCGAACCGAGTCACTTTGACATAATCATTAGAACCGCGACACAATCATTACACGGCCGATTCGCCGGAGCGTCAGTCATTAATGCACGGCCGCCGGGACACAATGCCTGGCCAGAATGTCGCACTTCATGTATTATGCACGGCCACCAAGGACAGCTTGGCTGATTTGGGACGGAGCCGCGTCACCCGTCCGACACACAAATGACCGATGGACAACACGACAGGGCAGCTGTCCCAGCTAACCGGTCCGGCGCCGTCCGAAGCTCCGGCACTGGCTACCATGGAGCTCTTACATAAGAACTCTGTATGCCAGCTACTGTGCGCTCCCGGGCGCAAATGATCCCAGGCTGAGATGATCATGCCAGATTGACACCAAGGGACACAATTTACCTTCCCCTTATAAAGCGCAGGACTAGTCCCGGAAGGTCTCCTACCATCCCTTGTCATCTGTACCAAACATTCAGCATAAGTTATCCTTGAATACGACTATACTTGAAGAGCTCTAACCTCTTCAACCAGAAATCTAATCCCCTCAAACCTTCCCATCCTCTCAAAAAAGCAACACCAAAATTATCATACCATAGCCCATCCCATCCTCGGCTACTCCTCGCTCCATTCCACTGACCGATGGGCGCCGATGACGAGGTCTCGGTCGTGTTTGCCGGGCGTCCACCAGGCGGGCAGGTTGGGCGCCTCCTGGCACAGTTTGAGCCGCTCCTCCAGCTGCGGGTGCACCACCACCTCGTTCCGCAGCGTGTTGAGCAGGTCAATCCGCTCCTGCAGAGAAGAAAGGTTCGGTCAGAAACGCAATAATTGTGGGCTGAGCATGGTATTCAGATTTCGTCAATGACAACGCATGCGATATGGGACGATAAGGATTATCGATTTAACGCACACCAATCGTTTACCTGAATCCGGCATATTTTTCTGCAACTGAAATTAGTAACAGTACAAGAAGGAAAGACGTTCAAATTTATCATAATCCATACGGCTTACACTATTTTGCAAGCTCAACTATCATGATCCTCCTTCCACCCCCGTAAGGACCGGACAAAAAAAAAAAATCAAACGGGTATCAGCTGCCGCGCTCAGTCGCCAACTCGGCACCCTCCATCCACTCGACGACAGCGACCGGAGCCGCATCTGGCCCTACGCGCCGCTCCCGTGCTACGGCAATGAGCCGTATCCCCGGCCCGACTACTCCAGATGTGCGCGCCGGCCCGTATATTGCAAAGCGGTGCGGTCAGCCAACGCGGAAGGCGGTCTGCTTACGGAATGCTTACGGTACATAAGAGGATACTGATCAGCGGTTTGGACAAAAATGGAGCCTACCACGTCCGCAATGGTGGGCTGCAAATGGCCTGTGGTATTGGGATCGATTTCTCTGTCTCAATATCCATTTCTTTCCTTGAATACGCGTGTTTGCGCCCACTAAGTCCCGCGGCCAGAAATCGCCTCGTATAAGCGTTGAGATGAATATATATCACTAGTTTGACACGGCTGGGACAGTTCTCGGCCCCCAGGCCTCTTTAGCCACGCTGCTCTCGGCTACCGGGCCCAAAGCCAGCCAGTCTAAGCCCCGACAACTTACCATCAGGTAGACAGCCTGCGAGCGCGGGATGAGATCGGCGGCGGCCGGCGGCGCGGGCGTGCCAGCGGCGGCCGGCGGCGGCGGCGGTGGTGGCTCGCCGGCCGCCACCCGCTGACACATGGCTCGGAACTCGTTGTAGTATTCTGTGAGCGTGTCGTCGAGTTTCTTCTCGAGCCGAGCCGTCGCACGGAATCGGTTCCAGTCGTAGCGATTCTCCTTCCTGAGGATAGGAGAGGGAGACGGAGTCAGAGATGTCACAAACGGAAAGCAAGACGCAATGGGAGATGAAGCGACAATTAGGTAATCCACAGGAACTGAGGGCAAGCCGACATTTATAACTTGGGCATAGGACACAGTCACTCATACAATTGTGTTCATCGATAAACGATCAGTGTCCACATGCGATTTCGAGAAAATACTTATTCCTGAAAACAGCAATAAAGCATGAATGCGAATTGACATCTATATCTACTGGCAGTTAACGTTATGGCCACTGCCACCAAATCCTATTGACTACTTTGTATGATCTGATTCAGATCGTTCAAAATTATCGACTTCTAAGCGAGCAGCGCTGCACTACCCAAAGAACCACTGCTGATAAATACATCGACAGGAACCAGCCACCAAACTCACAACCCAGACCATATGTGTAAGCACAATCTGAAACTGTCAAACCGCCCCAACAACACGTCTGTTCACTGTTCAGTCCGCTGTATCCACCCCCTCCCCTCCCTCCGCGTGTCGCCGGACGGCCGTGCAGCAGTGACCTTCGACGCTCGCACGCCGTCGTCTCCGCTCCGTAATCCGCGCGGGCCGAGCGGCCACCGCAGCCATGCCGCTCGGCCGGCCGTATCGTCCGGCCATCTATGCAGCCGCGCGCCCGGCCGCCGCGCAGACACGACATTTTTGCCGATAATGCTGAATAATTCGCTGCTTATCGGAGTGTATTGACGTCGGTACGGCAAACAATTCCGAATGAGGTAATCTTCCCAGAAACGGTCGGCCAAACGGGATGAGCCGAAGGTCCACCGCTCGGCCGAGCGCGCGCGGGCCGGCGGTTCAGCCAGCTGGCGGTCCGGCCGCTCTGATCACGGGCGAGACCGGTTTGGTATTGGGAAAAACGCGGCACAACGCGGCCAACGAGTCAACAGGACACCGGCCGCGCATTGGCGCCTGATTGCCAGGAGACTCGGTGCGGACACTGCCCGCCTCCGATCGTGATCTCCCCGACCACCGTCCAGCCGATCCGCGGAGCCGGCCGACCGTATCAAACCGGTTCACGGCAGCGTGCCGCCTCCCTCCTCGCCTCCGGCCGGTCTCAGCCTCCCGCCGCGTCCACACGGCAAACACCATTGTTCGAGCGCGCACACTCGGCGCCGGCCGGCCACACACGAGCAGGGCAGCGGCGGGCTCCTCTCGCCAGGCCGCCGGACGGGAGGCGCGCCAGATGTTCACAGGGTACCGCGAACAGCAGCGCGATAACACATACCCGCAGACAGTGTTCGGACAAACGGGTGGACGTGGCGGACCGCCTGCCGAACCCAAGATTCAAGAACAAAGAGAGCCGACGCAATGACTACCAGCAGTTACATAACGCTCACAGCTGCAACGGAAAAATTTCGATAGTAGGGCATCAGAAGACGCTACGACCAAAGAAGGAACGCTGGCGATTTCTGAATAATTTTCGGCATGATACCAGTGGCATGAATTGATACGCCAAAAGTGGACAATGCCCTCATCAGTCAACACGCCATTGCATCGCACCATATTTCCACTAAATCATCTCTCGATGATCGACCTCAGCCGTCACTCTGCGGTCCTTAACTGAACAATGAACAAGCCCGGTCACTCGACGGGTCGGGCCGGTGCTTGGGAGCACCTCCGTCCGCGCCCGGGCCAGTAAATTCGCCGCAGCCGGCCGGCGGCCACTGAGGGAGCGAGGCAGCGCCTAATTACACGCCACATCAGACAGCAGCGGTCCGGTGAAGGACACCCTCGCCTCGCCGCTCTGTCCGGCGCTCAAACTCTGTCCGTGGAGCGCCGTGTGTGCGGCCTGATACGGCCGAACGACCCACCGCCTGGCGGCCGGCCGGCCGGCGGTGGCCGGAGGGAGGGGCCGGGGATACAGTGTCACGCGGCCCGGTGAGCGGCAGGACGGAGCGAGGTGGCGCGCCTGACCTTGGCGCGCGGCACGGCTCCACCCCGATATCCGGACGGTGCGGCCGCCGCTAGCTCACCGACAGCAAACATTTGAACATGTCCGATCGCTGAGGCGCTCACTCAGAGTGGCGGGACACGTGTCGAGGGTGGCAGCCGGGAGCACGGGCGGCACAAGATGGCGGATAATGGGCGCCGGAGGCAGCGTGGGCGGAGACGAGGCTCAAACATCAGCCGCAGCTGTGGCCGGGAAACGATTACCGTCAGTTGCACCGCCCGCAGCATGTCGCACCTACGACGGCAGAGACGCGACCGACGCCGAGGAGCGAATCAGCAGCGGCTGCGCCGCGCCCCGGGAAGCAAACAACTTCCGGGTAATGGGAGCCCGGTCTCCGCCTCCACACTGCGCACTTGTCGAACACAATTGCCCACAAACACTCCGAAGGACCCGCCGACCAACCGCCAGTCAACATCCCGCTATTGTAACATGCTGCTACCAGCCCGAGCCGCGGAAGAGCAACCAGATATCGTCAGTCATCATTTCAACACACACACGCACACACACGTTACCCAAGCTGCTCAGCACCCCGGTCCCCGGAAACCTACCTGTGGTACTCGACGCCAAAGGCGGCCACCACGCGCAGGAAGCTGGCCTCCTCCTGTCGTGTCCAGCGCTTCTGCGAGAGCTCCAGCTTGCGCATCTCCCGCTCGCGGACGATCTGCTCGATCTTCTCGCGCCGCTCGTTCTTCTGCAGAAGGAAACGAGGTGGTGAGATATACAGAAGGTAATCATTGGCTCTAAACATGTGAACGGAACTCTGTCCAAATCGTATCTACGGCTTGAATGCTATAAGGCGTCAACAGTCCACATGTGTCGTGCAGTCATTGCCCAATCGCACCACGTAGCAAAGACAAGAAAAAAAAAGACTGCGGTTGTCCACTTAGCATTCAAACCTATAAAATACTCGTTCACCGCTAGCCACATTCCATCAGACCGACCACAGGACGCACGCTACCCTCGCCCTCTTTATGCCGGGCTGACCGCGCCCCTGCCACCTCTCCCTCCTCGCGGTACTCGACCGGCAGTGGCTGCGTGTTTGTCCGATCAACATCACAGCAGCGGGCACCGGGCCGGCCGGCCGGGCCGCCTCGTTTACATACCACCGGACCGCTGCCGCGGCGCGTCTGGACCGGCCATAAATACAATCGTGCCACGCCGGCCCCTGCGCGCCGCCGCCGCCGGAGCCGCCGGGCGGCGGCGTGGTGAACCACCCGGACGATTCGGGCTGATGTCTCAGCTCGGCCTCGACCGCCGCTCGGCCATATTGACATGTTGCTCGACAGAGGGCGCCAGGCGGCGGGCGGGCGGTCCGGGGGCGGTTTGCTCACCCATCCTCTCGTCGCATCTCCAGCGGCCTCGCACCGAGGCTCGCTCCCACGGCCGAGCCGGCCCTCTGCCAGTTCCGGCCGCCCCCTCCCCTTCCGGCCGGTCCATCTAGGGCGGCCTCCTCCGCTCAGCCCGCGCCGCGCAGGGCAGACCGGGGGCGCCCACCGCTAATGAGACACAGCCATCAGGCGCCGGGCCACTCGGCGGCGGTGGCTGTCGTCTCGGGCCTCGGACGGCGCCGGCGCGCACCACCGCCGGCCGTGTATTGATCACTGGCCACCGGACAATTCACATTTGTTCATCCACTCGGGATGATCGGCCCGCCGGCGAGTCGGCCCCCGGATCACTGTCACCGTCTCCTGCGCGGGAGTCAGCGGCGACGGATACCAGCGGGGAGGGGCGGGCGGCGGTAGGGCCGACCCCAATGAGTCGCCCGCCCACCGCGCCGGAGGAGCAGCGACGGCCGGGTCGCAGCAGCGCCGGTGTCGTTGGAGGCGCGGCGACTGTCGGCTGCGGCTCAAAGTGGCTGCCGATCGACCGAATCGGCCGGGCCGAGCGGTGCCCGAGCGGCGGCCGCTCTCCCGGGCCGATCGTCAATCAGCCCCGGCACGACAGGTGACCAATGTCGCCGGCGGCAGACGACCCGCCGCCCGCGCCACTCCGCGGCCGGCCCGGCCGGCGTATAAATAGCCGCCGATAGGCCGAGCAGCCGGGCCGGTGGCAAACAACACGGCGGTCTGCGCGGCCGGCCGTGTGAATTGAGGGGTGGCACACTGGCAGGGTGACAGCGGCCACCGCTGAGCGCGAGCCAAACACGCCCGCCGCCGCCGCTGTGCTGAGGAGGTCCCTGTCTGCCGCAGTCACAGGGGCGCTCTATGCTTTCCGAAGTGCTGAATCCAACAGAAGTATTATTGTTATGATGTTTGTTAGCGCGCACGAGGTTCAGTTTTCAGCATTGACGAGACCTGGATGTGAACTACTCAGCGTATTATAACATCACATATGATAATAAAAAAAAATGCCGCCGCCCGAGCAACAACCGATGATTCAGTCAACAGAGGTTATTCCCATGAAAATCATTCAAATACAACTTATATCAGAAGCCAATCAACCTCGGGTGTTATAGGCGGTTCACAATGAGGAAAGGAGATGCTTTTCATTGAGGAGAGTAGGACGTCCTACAACGACCCACTACCGTGAGAAAATCGATGAAAAGCGACTTCCCGTTGTAGATGCCTTGGACGGTAGAGTAGCCAAGCGTCAAAAGCTCAGGGAGTATTAGGCAGCCACTGCACTGTATTTAAAAGTATAATACAATGTTATTGCTCATCAGCAAAGAAGGAAGTTCGAAAAGGACGAAGATAGGTGCTGGTAAGCCCGCCAACAGTCGAATAATCGCGGGCGATCGAATCATTCGATCTTCGCAAGCTGAATTTATGTGCCAATCCCCGCTAATGAGCAAACGCTGTAAAACAGCATATGATACTATAAAACATATGGCGTACGATCTCAGCATCTATGACAACCACGTAATTTCGATTATGTTTTAAAGGGCAATCAAATTTTCAACAATCGTTAATGTCACTTAGCAGATTCAGTCCGTAACCTGCCCCAGCCTCCTCGTATGCCAAAGTAACTACCCATCGTACCTGAGCCAGCATACTTTACGCTGAGCACAGAACATTGTCAGCATATTCGAATGATGAAGTCCTGGTCACAAACCAGGCCGACGTATGACCAGCATGCGCTGGGTAGGCATTTTCAGGCCAAGGGGGCATTTCCGGAAAAGCTTGTCAATAGTTACGTATGGAATTTACCGCCAAGCGTTAGTAAAATTCGAAATCTGCTCGCAGTTTTTCACAAATATTTTGCCGATTGACTCCATGGGAAAATACCCACACGTGAAAATGGGCATGCTCCAGCCTGGTACAATGAGCATGGAAACTCGATAATTGCTCGCCGGATGAGCGGTGGTACAGTGGCCTCCTGTGTCGCTCTACCACCTCAGCCGTCCACTGATCAATAGGCCGGACGGAGAGCTGCCTCCGATCCCAATCCCACTGCGCGGACGTGCCAGTCGCCCGTCACCGTCAGCACCCCTCCCCACCCATCCACCGCCGCGCCGTGTCGCCCTCTCCCGGGGCCGGCCGTCACTCAGCGTCTCATTTGTAGGCGGCGCGCGGCGCCAGGTCGTTACACCAATACCGGAGGTGACGGCGCCGGCCGCCGCGCCGACCCCGCCACCCGCTCTGTACGGAGCTCCACCCCTGGCTGACGGCAGATCCGTCGGAGGTCGGCGTCCGTCTCATCCGCCGCACCACACTGTGCGGCGCGTAGCATCTCCAAATAACCTCCCCATTTCACACTTCAATCCACACACACACCAACGTCTCTTAGATTATCATCCAGCGCATATAATCTCCCGTCAAATTTCCCAAAAACCTCTGCCCGTCTCTCCCGGCATCTCCACTTCATCACACTCGTCTTTCAAATATCTCCGCGAACATCATCCTGGCCGGCTCGGCGCCACCGCTGGCAGGAGCCTCCGTCCGCCCATCGTCGGCCACCGGGAGCCGGCTGCGGACAATACGGTCCGGCCGGCGGTCCGGTCCGTCGCCAGCGGCGATCGCTCAGTGTCGCCGCCCCGTATCGACGCCAGCCTCATCTCTGGATCGGCCCACCGACCGCCGCCGCCGGCCTCCGCTGGCACATCACGCGAGACAAAGCGGCCGGGCCCGGGCCGGCAGAGGCGGCGCCACCGGCCGCCGGCCGGCGCTGCACGGCCCGGCGACCCCGGCACGGCGCTCGCAGCGCACCGCAACCAGCCGGCGGCTTTCTCTCTCGGCCGGCCGCACGGAGCGTGACGTCACTTCCGCCGTGGCCGCGTCACGGCGGCGCGTCTCGGCGAGACGGACAGCGGGGGCAGCACCGTCCACCGTAGCTCACCCGCTCCTCCCAAACAACCACCGCACCACAACACACCGACACCAGCGCTCGGCGCTACTCACTCGTTATGTGCCACAGCTCATCTCTCTTGCCTTCCATCCACTACAGCGCGCTGAGATATCACCCACGTCTCAGCACTACACCACTGTATCGGTCCGCGCGCGGCAGCGTGTCACCGGCGGCGGCGGCGGCCGCTCAACTGACCGCGGCCGCCCGCCCGCGCCGCCGCCGCTCGCCGCTCGGAGCCGATCGGCACGCACGGCCGGCCGGCGGCGGCGGCGGCGGACCACACGATCGGCGCCCGGTTGAGATGTCAGCGCGGTCGCGCGGCGGCGGCCGTCTCTCGGTCGATACGTCCGTCTGTGGGTCCGCCGCCCGGCCGGCCGCCGGTCGGCTCATTTATAATTAACGCGCCGGCCGTTTGCCAGGTGGCGCTCAGTCAGTCGGCGCGCGCTCAACGCGTCTCCTCTCCGGCGGTGACGGGGAGGGGGTCCCGCGGACAGGGACTCACACAGCACGGCGATGTGAGGCGCGGCGCGGGACAGCTGGCTTGTTTGTGAACTTGTTTGGCAGCGGCAGCGGTGGCGGTGGCGGTGGCGAGAGGGCCCGTCAAATTACCGTCACAGAGCGAGTGAAAGCCCGACGGACATTAGTCGCTGCCGTACAGCACACACGCCACACACCGGGACACGGGCGGGCATCGGGCGACCGTTGTGCAACCGAGTCGCAGGCCCGCCGCCGCGTGTGCCGGGTCGGTGTGTGCAAACAATGTCGGTGAAACCGGACGATTGTTGTCGCCACAACGGTAGCCGGGTCTGTACAAAACACGGATGATAATACCCGAGGAAGAGCTACAAACATGGTCCGAGCCTGCAGCCAATGGACCAATACACACAAATGATAAAGGCAAACTCCTGCATCAAAAAGTTCGAGACCAGCGGTCAGTTATTTAGCGAGAAAGATGCACCTTTTACCAGCACTCAAATGTCATTCGTTTACAACCGGCTGTCAACCGATCCCCCACATCATTTCCTCCAACCCGAGCGTCACCAACCAGCGCCACTCCCGTTGGCCGCTGCAGTCGCCCGCCCACCCTCCGGCCAACAAACCAGCTACATCCGGGAGCTGGCCCGAGCCGTCCAAATGGCGACAGATGCCTGTGTCTGATTGATCGGCCAGGTTTGCCGAACGGCCGCCGCCGGCATCCCCACAGCCGGCCGGCCGGTCCTGCCGTGCCCACTGACGCCGGCACAAAGTCGCCACCGGCTCACCAACCGGTGGCTGAATATTAATAGACAGGTTTCTCAGCAGACTTGTCGAAATAGGTGCTGCAGATCCGCGATGGTAATGCTGTGGTTAGAAGTGGAAGATGTACCATTTGACCCGAGCTGTACCGATATTCAGGAAGGATGAATTTTGAGGATGAAATGAAAGCATGATGCATGAGTGGTTAAACCAGATATGAATTACTTTTCATTTCAAACTATTGTGGACGAGATGGAGTCTTGTCATCCCACTTCCACAAATGAGATCGTTGAAGTAATTTGTACAGCAGTTTCAATGAGTGCTGAATTTCCCTGCTTGAGAAGCATTTCTCAGCACAGAAGTCCACCACCAACCCAGCCGTATGTCAACGCGAGCGAAAAAGGCTCCCTCGAAATGTCGCAAGAATAGCAGCTGCAGCGGATGGGCTATTTCTGCATCCTATGAGCCTCAGTTGTTTTAGCACCAAAGTATGTGTTTCAGTAAACTGTGATGCACCTAGTTAACATGACGTGCAATTACTTTTGGTGCAGCGTCCGGCACAGTGCTTTGCTGAATTTAAGCACCGATGTAAAGGCCGATGTAAAAAGGAAAACACGATGATTAAATTTTATCACACAAAAGCAATGATTTAGGCTCCATCTCGTTACAAAGCACCCAGAAATCGCTCTATTACGATCCATTATGTTGATTTCATTACACAATCCACCCCAGAAGTCCCCGCACGCTAGCCAGCCATCTTCCGATCTTGTCGCCACCGCCTGTCAATGCAACAGTGAGCCCATCTCTCTCTCTGAGCCAGTCCAGCACCCCCGCTGGGCCGGTCGGCCGGCGAGTCTGTCGGACGACACCCCGCCTTTCACCCCGACTGTCCGGAACGGGTCAGGATGTGGGCGGCACGCCGCCACCGAAGCCGTACCGTCCCGGTTACAGCGCGGGGGACGGGCCGCAGCCGGGACGGCCGGGGAATACTCTGGACTCTGGAGGGGACGTGCCGCGTGATATCAGCTTATGATGCGCTTGGTAGCGCCAACTTAAAAAAAAAAATCGAATGGACACTAACTGCTGGGTTACAGAAGAATAATGAAAAGGCAAAATGCTTCCGGAAGATCTCATCATATCCATGAGAAATTAACGTAACAGTTATGGAATGATACTATGGCACTCCGATTTTGAGAGCAGTGAAGCCTGAAGTGGAAGACTAACCTCGAATTTGAAAGAAAAAGAAATGAAGATGCACCGGACTTGCGCCGGAGCATCTTCTAAACGATATTCATAGACAGCATATGACTACTAAAATAAACCTACATTATTGACATTAAAAACGATTATTCTACCTACCCTGTAAAGGCAAACAAGCGACGTGCGAGTTCGGACGCTTGTCGACCCGCCGACCGATTGTCAGAGGCTCAGAAATCACATTACCACTGATCTATCTACGGAGTACGGTTACTCGTGTCATCACAGACGACCTACTCCCCCGCCACCGTCACAACTAGGGCGACACGGAGTCGACACACGCTGACAGGCACGACTGACGTCAGTACAGGCACCAGGGGCGGACACTGGCTCCCAGGAACAAATGACATCACCTGAACAACTGCTCTGCTCGGAAATCTGAGCGGTGGTGATGATTGGAGCATACCGTTTCCACGAAACGCATCTGATTAGTCAGGATACTTTGTCGGGGTGAAGAAATGACGTTTGAACTGGTTTTGAGTGAGCCTGTAGCCTGGATGTAGATATATGCTTAGTAACCACGTCGGTACCAGCAGTCTAACAACTGTTAGAAAAGAGGCTCAAATAGGAGCCCGCTGGTGGAACGGATACCTCTCACGACATCAGCTCAAATCGGAGCCGGGTGTGGAACGAAAACCTTTGAGTCATGAGTCACGATTGCGGGGCTTACACACGACTGCTGCAGTGCTCAGCTGACCCGCAGACACGTCACGACTCGATGATAGGGGCCGCCGCGGCCCCTCGGGCAGGGCCTCACGGGGAAGTACAGAGTTTCCTGTCCCAGCAGGCCCCGCCGAGCCCAGCTGATTGCAGTCTCTCGTGTAACACCACTACTGCCCTCTCTAGGAGCCAGGGTCAACTCGACACGGCGTTTCGGATGAAAAGCAGCGGAGCTTTCGGGAGAGTTCCAGTGCTTTCTTTCAGTCGTACTGGAACAACTCCCACTCGCTTCAAGCAAGCATTCAGCCGCAAATAAGTTCCTTAACATGCCACAAATAGAAGACGCACTCATCCATCGGAACATATCCCATCACGCACTCACACCTACATCACCACTCGAACCACAAAACACCACTCACGCAGTCACGGCTGCGCAGTGAGCAGCGTCTAGCACCCTTTCATACTTCTCAACACAGACACAGCCCTACACCCAACCACGTCCATGCACCATCCCCACCCTCCCCATCCCATGATAACACTCACGCGCGCCTGGGCCTGCATTTTCTGCTCCTCCTTCTTATAGTTCCGCTGGTAGGCGGTGACCATGCGTCTGAGACGCGTGTTCAGGTCGGCGTTGGCCGGGAACGGCAGACGGTCGCCGGACATGGACGGACCCGGGCCGGCAGACGTCACTGCCGACTGCTCGGACGCGGTGGAGGGCGCCGGTGTCGAGGCGCGCGTCGTGTCCGAGCTGGGCGCCGGCGACGCCACCGCTGACGAGATGGTGTCCTCCTTGTCCAGGTCGTCGTCGGGTCCGCTGTGGAGCGGGATAGGGGGACAGACAAAGGTTAGAAGACGGCGATCACTAGAACGTCACATTGGTCAGAAGAGGCTAACAGAAAATGAATGCCTAAATAATTAAGAACTGGGAATTAGCATTCAGCTGTGGCGGAATTCCCGCACTGTATCCTCACACGCTTATCCCAAGCATGTTGCAAGGCATGCCAACTGCCACTACCCTCCACCATACAAACACCAACGCCCCTCCCTGATTATCTGGCCAGTCCCTCCCCTCCCGCGCCACCAGTGTCACTCACGCGTCCGTGTCAGTCTCGGCCGTGTCAGTGCCAGGCGCGGCGCCCTCGGGAGGACCGCAGCGCCCCAGGAACGACAGCGCAGGGTCCAGCCGCATCTGGTGGTAGCGCTCGTAGCCGTGCTTGTAGGTGCCGACGAGAAGCGAACGGTCGGCATCGGCGTCCCACCAGCCGGTCGGCGGCTGGTCCAGCCAGGGCGTCTGCATGTTCAGCTCACTGCCGGCGCACGGTAGGGTAGTGTTACGATACATGATGCTACCGCGGGGCAGGGACAATCGAGCATTGAGACGTGGTGGAGCGAAACACGATATAGGGGAGCCGCTCAAATTATGTAAGAAATGTCGCATTTCTTATGAAAAGAAGAAGGTGCTGTAAAATTACCATAAGGCATAATCATTAATCAAATTATAAATTCAAATTCATCCACGAGTTCATGCTTCATTTATTGAACCTGTTGCGCTGAGTATTGCAGTAACATTTTTATGAAGCAGACCTGTAACAATGCAGCCGGACAGGCTAAGAATCCCCATGCCGCGAGCACTCACCTGACGGGCACGTTGTCCATGATTTTGGGCGCCAGGTCGCCGATAATCTCCGTCTGCACGTAAAACAGCATGCGCACCCGGAGCAGCACCTTGTTGGAGTGCCGGTTCAGGTGGCGGTGGTAGCTGCGGTCCAGGTACACCTCCGTGTTGTACCGCTTGTCCTTGCTCCAGTCGGATTCCTCCATGTATTGGGCTACCATCTTGGCCTCACGCTGCTTCTTCTTGCCCTTTCGGCCGCGAGGCACGGGTGCCGACAGTCCCGCTGGGGAGGGAAACAGGGGGGGGGGGGCTCAGTAGGGTGTCGCCTGATGATGCAGGCATAAACAAACAAAACAAAACAAACTTCTAACAAACAAAAATAAATTTGAAGTAGCAAATTGAGACAGATGCATGATGACCGATCAGGATTCCAGGGTTGTCATTGGAAAATGTCACCATAGAACTGACTCGAAAAGTGATCATGCATGTTCACTTTGCGAGATCACTACGCTTGAAATGTTATTCACCTACATTCCACCAATTCCCATCTTTCGCCGGGGCCTACGTCGTATCACCTATCACAGCCCGTATCACGTATCACACGCCCGGTCGCCGGCGTCTATCGCTTCCCATCGACCGGCAGCCGTCTCCTGCGCGGCGTCGGCGACCCCCGGCCCATTACACCGGTAACACCGCCCTCCCGGCGGCGGGCGCAGGGCAGGCGGCTGCACGGCTCCGATTACGGCCGCCGCCACTGTCATCGCGGCGCGCCCGGCCGATCCGCCGGCCAGCCGACGCAGGGTCATCTATCAGCCGCTCGCCGCGCCGGGGGCCGCTCTCTGATCAATACGGCAGAGCTGTCTGTCGCTGCGTCTCCCCACTCTCCAGCCAGTCTCACACAATCCCCTCCCGTCTCCGGCACAAATCAGCTCCACCGCTCAAACTAGCTGGAGGCGTGGGAAGGAGGGCGGGGTGCTGAATCTCCCACCTACACGGAATGGAGCAGACGGGTCCGAAATAACACTCACCTATATGGTTTTGTCCCAGCTTCGATGTGTCCTGGTTGCTGGGCGAAATGAGATCAAAGATAAAGCCTCGAATCTTGTCATCTCCCTTGTACACCTTGATGCACTGGAGCAGCTGAAAAAAGAGAATACCAGTCATACAATTGTTCGTATTTGTCTAAACTGCTCTCAAACCCCAATGGAAAGAAAGACCGCTCGCTTATTATCACGGTCAGCAATCTGAATCATTATATGGAAAACCGCACAAACAAATAATTAGCAAAATGCAATACTAATCAGCGACTTGGGCCGTCTCTAACAAATTATCTATCAGCTCCAAAAACTTAAAATGTAAGAAAGGAGGCACCGCACAGAGAATGCAGCCAGAGCGTAACAATCAAAATGTAATCAAAATGTAAGTGCCACGTCACTCCATGTCAACGCAGCTCGGCATCAGACCAAATACCCCACCCAGTCCTAAAAACTAAAGTAATCTTGCTACAAACAACATCCGGCGGAAGGCACAGCCACGTCCCGAGTCCCGACCCGGCAGCCGCCGCCACCCGACGACGACCGACACCCGTTCGCGCTCCGCCCCTGCGCCGCAAATCCACGTATGTCCACGGTTGCCGCGCCGCCAGGGGTGCATGGGCAGCAGCCGCACATAACCCGGCCGCCGTCTGGGCCAGCCGGCGGCTGAGCGGAGCAGCCAGCTGGCAGTTCGTACCCCACCCGGCAGTAGCTGCCCATACCGCGGCCGGCACAGGGTGGGGTCTGCCTCCGACACACCAACAGCCGGGCGCGGCGCACACCTGTTGCGGGAGTACACTGCCCCAGCAGCTGCCCATACCGGCGCTCCGCGGAGGAGGCGGTCAGAGTCGCTGAACCGTGACCCCGGGGACGTCGTATCAATATGGGCCTTAGGACGTCGGGCGGAGGCCCACCGCTAGTAGATGCACATACCGCGTCCGTCCCGCTGCGGTCGCCGACAGGACAGTAGTACGGTCCCCGGCCACCAGACGAACATAACCAGCTACTCGGCCCAGTTTGGACACCCCACCGTGGCCAAAATCCGCGCCGCGTGCTGGCACACCAGACGAACATAACCTCGGTCCTCCAATCATACGTAGCGTTGTCAGCGTGGCCACGGACCTTTTTGATATGTTCTGGCGTTACCTTTTTTCCATTGAACAAACGTACAAAATTGAAGTTTACTTGAACCCAAATAAAACTGGCGCAATGTGTACCGCCACCTTCAGCCTCAAAACGTTCCTTGTTTCAAGCTCTATCAATATCAGTCGGCTAATCGTGCATTTATTAAAAACTGAGGTGGTACCTGGGGGGTAGAAGCACCCAAAGTCGGGTCTCTTTAACATTGGGTTGGTGGTGAAATTCAATGATTTGGGACTTTGCTGGCTTCCTCGTCTTACATTATATCAGTGGGTACGCCACCTTCAAGCTATACTGATAGAGCTATCAATTCTAAAACTACTGGCGCTTGGTTCGGCATCATTCGACAAATACCCAACTGGTACCTTGGGGGTAAAAAAACTTCCGACTGGAAAATATAGAGGAAGGACATGGGTTCAAATCTCATCGCCGACAGAGTTTTTGCGTGTTCGGGTATTAACCCGCGCCCTGCTGGGGGGGGGGGTGTTTGAACACCCCCCCTTGTGGTTTTTCGCGAATATCTCAAAAACGGCGGCGCGGAGCGCCGCCGTTTTTGGTACACCTTATCATACATCAATTCTACACATGTTGTGAAAATTTCAGACCAAGGTCATTCAAGGTCAGGTCACCAGGTCACTTGAAGTGACCTCACCTCATAAAAAGTTTCAATGTCTGTCATAGCTACACCGAGTGACCGATTGCTTTGAAACTTTCAGCGATTGCTAAGAGCAATAGCATGTACAAAATGTATATCTCAGAATTTTGATATCGATGACCTAAGGTCAGGTCAATTTTGCGACCTCCCCGTTATAAGTCAATGGGAGAAAATTGAAATGCGCCTCTTTTGGAAGAAAGACATTATAAACACTCCCAAACACTGAATTACAAGTGGTTTAGACACACTGAACATGAAAATGGTGTCCGTGACCCCTGTTTATGCCCTGAGGTCATCTTAGGTCACAAATGGTATCTAACAGTTTTTCGCAAATAACTTTTGATAGAGGCATGCTAGAGCGATGAAAACGCCTTAGATGTGTTCAGCTCGACGATACGGATCGACTGATATGCAACATGACCCTTTCCGGTCAGGTCATGACCTTGACCTGAGGTCAAATTTTCAAGTTGACCTTTCAAGGTCAAGTTATAGTTCATTCGATGCGTCTTGACGAGAGGAACACGATGCCGGTAAAAGTAAGCTCGTACAAGGCTTGGGTCAAAAGTTATTGCAGAAAAACTGTTTCCGAAAAAATCGGCTATTTTTGCAGTTTTTGCCCCCTGCAGGCAAAACCGTTGACGGTAGGTCAAATCTGAGAGAATTACTCAGAAAGGGCGTTAATAGGGCTATCGAATGCGCTTTTCCGCGGCGCTGTAGCTCTATTGGTTCCCGAGTTATGCGTTGGCTTCTTGGAAATTTTCGACATTCGACCTGGAAATCGACGAAATTTTGCCTTCAATGACCTCTGGTGACCTGACCTTTGACCTGACCAAAAAATTGACCGAAGTGATTTCCTCATTATTTTTGACGCTCTTTCGAACGCCGCCTTCCGCGTATCGCTACGTGGCCCAGGAGCCGAGTTAGAAGGGGGGGGGGTGTTCAAACACCCCCCCCCCCCAGCAGGGCGTGGAAATCCAGGACCCCCAGCAGGGCGCGGGTTAATATGACCGAACGCGTTTACCACTAACCACCGATATCTTAAGAGCCAATGATCCCTACCAAGTCCCGCGAGGTGACATTTGATAGGACTCTCCAAGACCTTTCCAAGGCGTACTTAATTTAAGGATCAAGGTCAGGCTTTATGTTAAGCATGCCGCTTCTGTATGGTGTAGCCCACGGCCAGCAATATCGGCGGCCTCTGCTCGAAATTCAGCCGAAGAGAGCGTTTTGAACTAGTGTACATAGATACTCGATCAGCAGAAGTGCGATAATAAGTACGGGTCCGGGGTCAAAGTTAGAGTCTTCAAAGAAGCAATGGCGCCCATAGTGCTGAAGGTGTCACAACAGTGGAAGAAAATCCTCAGAAAATAAGACATTTGTGATGAATATTGGAAATATTGAAAGACAATATTGTAAAAAATGTTTTAGGACTCTGTTGATTGTATTTCAACTCGATTGGTACCACTTCATTCGCCATGACGTCTTTTAGGTATTTTCATGGCCATCACTATTCACTACATCCCCCAATTACGGAACGGCTGTGCGTGCGGCCCGGGTGTTCCGTTATTACGGAAGGCGCCCAGCTGGTGACCGCGCTGACAACGCTACGAGCAGATCCATTCGCACCCCACCCGCAGTCGGTGCCGCCCAGTCAGCGCCCACCAAACGCCCATACCACTTGGCCCGGAGAGCCTCTACCCTTTTCATTCCTCCCTCTCACAAAAAACATCACCCGACCTCGCCCCCTCCCTATTCCTCGCCTGAAGGGGCGAGCGCGTCACTTACCACCAGACGTGCCAGGTCCTCCACGTGCGCCTCGGTCCAGCCGTCTCGGAAGCCGCCGTGTCGCAGGATCTCCGTCCAGCGGCCCCAGCCGAACACCAACAGCTGTTTCTCCACCTTGAAGCACTCGTGACGCGTCCAGTTGCCGTAGCAGACGGCGCCCTCGCCCGTGATGAAGTCCAGGTCGTCGTCCGGTCGGTAGCGCGGCGCGCGACCGCGACGGGACCGGCCCGGCACTGTCGGCGGGGAAGTGACGTCAGCGGACTGTGGGATGGGTTTGGACAGGAGAAGCAGGGCAATGGACATACTTCAGAATACTGCAATACTAAGGCCAGATGACTGATCAATCATGCCTTGCCGCCAATTTTCTCTGCTTTTCACCTCAACGGCATCTCTTCGTGCAAAACGTTGTCATACTCACACGTAACCCCTCCCTTCCTTCCAGTCCCACTATCATATCCTCGGTCCTTTCCTTGTCTGGTCCTCCTTCTGAGCTCAGTTCTGTTCGGTCAACGCTGTTCGCTCATCTTTCCCTATTAATCGCCAGCTATTCCAGAGCTCTCCCTGCTAAAAAACGCCGTCCTCCTCCCGTTCCCTCCACCGTCCTCCCGTTCCCTTACCGTCCTCCTACCTGTCCCCCTCCCCACCGTCCTCCCGTTCGCTCACCGTCCTCCTTCTCCTTGTTCTCGTCCGAGTCGGAGCTGCTCCCGATGTCGGACACGTTCTGCAGCAGCGCCTCCTCCTGACCGTAGCGTTTGATGCGGCTCCGGCGGCGCGGCTCAGCCACAATCAGCTCGTTCTGGGGACAACACAGAGGTGGGATGGCGTTAGTGAGGGTGGGCGGAACTGGGGAAAGGTGGAACAAGAAAAACACGTAGGTTAATCCGGGTAATGGTATAATCAGACGATGCAATTGCATGGAGTGTTGAGAGTGGCATCAGGTTAAAATTTGTCAATTTTTTGTTTGTTTTCTGTTATTATGAAGGGCGTCCAATGCTGGAGGTCAATACTGGGCCCTGTTCATGAGCCCCGGCGGTCGCTGCGGCCGCTGCGATCAGCCGGGTTGCTACGTCACGAAAAGGGGCGGGGCTCATGCAGTATGACGAATGTATGACGTCACCTTGCTGCGGCCGCAATCCAGCGACCACCGAGCCGCAAGAAAACTAATTGCACTGAACTTGGCGCACTGAAGTCATATAGGCGCAGGCCGTGTTGTCATGGAGACGATTTTGTAAACAAATTATCTAGCGGTGTGCGTCAGTTAACAATTGTCGGAAACTATTTCGGCAGCAGACGCTGTTCATGGAACGCTGCTGCGGCCGAGTGAGTGATGACTTTTCAAAAATGGGCGGGGCTTAGAACCTGCGGCCGGCCGCAACGGACGCAGACTTCATGAACAGGGCCCTGAATTCAGCCCAGAGGTTTTATAAGGAGACTATTTAAAGGCTGGACTAAAGGCGTCTCAGCACGTCTTCCAACATTGTTAGAACTGTGTCTTATCTAAGCGCACTTATAGCGTGCCAGTGTATATTTCTCCCCATTAGTCATAAAAGAAGACTAACCCTTCCACGTCAGCGACCTGTACCACGGAATTTGAAGGCCGTGCATGTACAGCAGCAGTTTCATAATTCGTGAGCCGAGGCCATTACATAACACCAACGACACTGGGCTCATTCGACCACATGTCACCCCACTTGAACGAAAGACGGCGAAGGTGGGTCATTAACCCGCGCCGTGCTGGGGGGGGGCGTTTTTACGCCCCCCCCCCCCCCCCTCAGGTTTTTCGCGAATATCTCAAAAACGGCGGCGCGCAGCGCCGCCGTTTTTGGTACACGTGTTCCTACATCATTTCCGCACATGTTGTGAAAATTTCAGACCTAGGCCGTTCAAGGTCAGGTCACCAGGTCACGTCAAGTGACCTTACCTCAGAAAAAGTTCAAAGGCTCGCTATAGCTACACCGACTGAACGATCACTTTGAAACTTTCAGCGATTGATATGAGTAACAGTATGTATAAAATGTATATCTCGGATTTTTGATATCTGTGACCTAAGGTCAGGTCAATTTTGCGACCTCTCCATTATAAGTCAATGGGAGAAAATTGAAATGCGCCTCTTTTGGACGAATATCGTTCAAAACGCTCTCAAACATCGGTTCATAGGTAAACATGACACACTGAATAGGAAAAATGCACCTGTGACCCCTCTGTGTGCCCCTGAGGTCATCTCAGGTCATGAACGGTCGCCAGCAGTTTTTTGGCTATAACTTTTGATAGAGACGTGCTAGAGCGGTGAAAACACGTCAGATGTGTTCAGCTCGACGATACGGATCGACTGATATGCAACATGACCCTTTTCGGTCAGGTCATGACCTTGACCTGAGGTCAAATTTTCAAAATGACCTTTCAAGGTCAACAAATAGTTCATTCGACGCGTCTCGACGAGAGGAACACGATGCTGGCAAAAGTAATGTCATGGCGCTTATGAGTCAAAAGTTATTGACGAAAAAACGTTTTTCGTAAAAACGGCTATTTTTGGAGTTTTTGCCCTCTAGAGGCTAAACCGTTGACCTGAGGTCAAATTTGAGAACATTACTCAGAAAGGTCTGTAAAAGGGCTATCGAATGCGCTTTTCCGCGGCGCTGTAGCTCTATCGGTTCCCGAGATAGCCGTTGGCAGTTTCCAAAATGTTGAAATAGTCAACATTTTACCTTTGGTGACCTCTGGTGACCTGACCTTTGACCTGACCCAAAAAATGACCGAAGTGTTTTCGTCCTTATTTTTGACGCTCTTTCGATTGCCGCTTACCGCGTGTCGCTACGTGGCCCAGGAGCCGAGTTAGACGGGGGGGGCGTGAAAACGCCCCCCCCCCAGCACTCGGCGGAAAGTTCAGGCCACCAGCACGGCGCGGGTTAATACCAGAACTTTCGAGACCCATGTCCCCGACAACGGTCATCAATAGAGCCCGCGGCAAATGTCGAGTGATTAAAGAATGTAATACAGTAAATACGAGTACAATAATAGGAACGAGAAACAAAGCGAACGTTTTATACCTCACCGCTGATCGTTCCTAGCCATCGATAATTATGCAACATTTAATTATCATAGCCCACATGGTCTCGCGAGCTTTTCCCGATACAATATCGTCTCGCCTTTTCCAAGTTCGACCGGTAAAATCAGCTTTCATCCAAACAGTTGTATCGAAAACTTCAACCGGATCATCCACCCACTTCAAAACTTGAGTTATCAACAATCATCTCCCACGCCTTCCGATTTCTGAGCTAGGCTACCTAACCACTTCGAGGTCGTCCCCCCACCCCTCTCCCCGGCTGTCCCTCGCTCACCTGCGCGGGCGTGTCGTCCTGGCCAACCTCAGCCCGTTTGGCCCACTTGTTCCAAAAGTCCGGGTCGTCAATGTCAATATCGGAGCGGTTTCCGGCCGTCGAGAAGGAGGCCTTGCTAAAGCTGGAGCCCTTCTCCTCCTCGAAGGTGATGACCTGTGTGCGCTTCTCGAGGATCTGGTCGATGTCCTCCTCGCAGAACTGTTGACCCGCCGTATCGTCATCCATCAGGGCGCCGTACGCACCTGTGGGCAGGGTCAGACAGTGTCAGTCATGGAGGTGGAGATTTATCGAAAAGAAAAACAATCATTCCCCTTCCAAACCGCTGATCAAACCACACCATAAAATTCAGTCAGTCCAAGAAAGGGCTGATCTAGCATCACCATTCACCCCAACCCGTTCTCTACGTCACTCACCCTTCTTTAGAAGGATCTCAACCTCCTTCTTGCTGAGCTGTTTGTTGGGATCCACGCCGCTCTTGTTCTGGCCCGTGTTCATGCTCTGCAGAACGGCCTTGTCGAGACCCAGCTTGAGACTGGCCCGGTCAAACATCTCCCGTTCGTAGGTGTTGCGTGTGATGAGTCGGTACACCTTGACCATCTTCTGCTGGCCGATACGGTGGCAGCGCGCCTGCGCCTGCAGATCGTTCTGTGGGTTCCAGTCGCTGTCGAAAGAAGGGTACGGGTCAAAGAATGCATCAAAGAACGGCACTGGCGTGCATGCCCGGTAATGGCAGGACGTTAACGCAAAATATGCATTTATAAATTATTTACCCTAATTTCTTTCTTATATAACGGTTCATTCTTATATAACATACGGCATGCGTAATGCATAATTGATAAGCGCTACCGCAAAAGCCCTTACCTATCGCCACTCTAGTGCATAGACTATAGGAGTTTTAAAATTGCTAGGTGTATCGAGCACATTAATTATAATTCAAGGATATTCAGTCCTTGGCACAATAACGGCTACTTTCAGTCTCGCCACCCTCAGGCCCCAACCGCACCTCCCTGACCCACTACTGTCGCTCGTCGCACCTGTCATAGATGATGACGGTGTCGGCGGCGGTCAGGTTGATGCCCAGTCCGCCAGCCTTGGTGCAGAGCAGGAACACGAATCGGTCAGAGTCGGGCCGGCAGTAGCGGTCGATGGCCGCCTGACGCAGGTCACCCCGGATCCGGCCGTCGATCCGCTCGAACGGGTACCTGGCGGAGCGGATCGGCACCGTCAGCTCAGCGTGGTCACGGGTTAAGACGTATTGACACAGTCAGTCACGATTCACGGTTATAACGTACCGACGCCGTCAGCTCAGTTATGAGTTTCGAGTTATGATGTACGAGTTACGACGTTAGCAACATTGGACCTTAGATCCTAGCTGTTTGTAGCAGAAAAGTCATGCAACATAAACCAAGTATTTTTCACAACATTGCCTGTGACTACGTCTACGTGTCTCACTTTTTGGCGATGAGGTAGTCCTCGAGGATGTCGAGCATGCGGACCATCTGCGAGAAGATGAGCACCCGGTGTCCCTGCGCCTTCAGCTTGGGCAGCAGCTTGTCGACGAGCACCAGCTTACCGGCGCTCTGCACCATCGCCTGGGGGCGCAGACGACCGGGCGGGCGGTCAGAACAAAAGGTACAGTCTTGCAAAAATCTGAACGAGACTTGTTATACCTGCATAGTTCTACACACGTGGGCAATGAGCATGGCAGATAGCACACACAAGCTTCAACGTGAGCAGAAATCGGCCGAGTAGGTTATCAGGACAAGATCCAGCAATAATTATCAGAATTGATGCATATGATAAGAAACAGCAAAAGCGCAGGGCCAAACACAAGTCCCGCGCCATGCCATATAAACCGTGTACCGGCGGGGTCCGAGGCGCGGCCTCAACGACCGGCCCACTGACAGACCACTACCGGTCCCAGACAGGTCAGTGTGGCCCGCGCTTTACCGACAGCGCCACCATGGTACGGCGTGCCGGGGCTGAGCGGCGGGCGCGGGGCACTCCCCTCCCCTCCCGACGGTTCATCACGGTCACATGAGCTCATGAGCTTGCAGTGGGCACTTGGTTACATGAAATATACATGCCGCAGTGAGCCGTCACTTGAGAAACCACCATCTGCCGGAAATTGGATAAGCAAATTTCTGTTCTGCCATTCCATAAGTTGTGGAGCATGACCATAGCGATACATCTTCTACCAAACTTGATCTAACCAATTCTGAAACTAAAATCGCCCGGCATGACGTTAATGTTTGAAGAAAATCGCCAGCGTTCACAACTCAGTGGTGATTCAACTCAGAAAGGCAATAATTTTCCCACCCCACACCAAGTTTGCGTCTGCGGCCGTTGCGAAACCGGCCGCACCTTTCAGGATCCGGCAAAGTTCCAGTCTTTCCGCTGGGTATCCCTTAGATATTATGCACCACAGCTCACTGATTCCGTTAACGCAGACCGTCCCAGAGTTGTCAGAGGTTTCTCAGCGGCCCATGCCTCCCACCCGTCACGGAGTCTTTCAGGGATTCACTGTGGAGCCCGATCCTATTCTTGACATCCGTTATCCTGTTCAGATGTCTGTCCTTGGCGTAAAGCCAAGTCAAACTCGATTCTTCCCTCGGTGTGCTCGGCTAGACCAATGCCGGATTCCGGATTGGCAACAAAATCATCGTACCACGCGGCACTACGCAAAATATCCATCATAGACTCGCCAAAGTCAGAGTTTCAACCGGCGGCCGGCGTATAACCTTACTTGGAAGTAGGAGTTCTCCACGCCGCTCTGGTCTTTGGTCTCCATCCGTTGTTCGTGCTGGATCTGCTCCTCCGCGCCTGTAGACCGAGGGAAAGGGAGTTTAGTTAGATAGATAGGACGGTGGCAGCAATCAGCAAAAGGAAATGAGTATAGTTGAGACGGGCACCCAAGGTGGTGTCAGAGCGGAGCTCAGCTAGATGTAATGTCGTGCTGTGGGCGGCAGCAGCACTCAGCAAACTATCTGTCCCTGATGCCTGCGTTAGACATTAGGCATTAACAATCTATTTAACTATCGCAAGGAACACATGAGGCAAACAAATAAACGTTTCAGTTGAAAAAGGTAGAACCATAATAGCTGCAGTGAGCATCTGCCGTGTAGCATAGCTGCAATGACGAAATCCATAAACCATGAAAACAACATGAACAGTACACATCAAAATGCATACCTTAATGTCTTGTGCTAATCTCAGTTACAAAAGCTGGTTGGAGTTACATAACTCACAGCCCGTCCCAATCGCTGTCATGTATCACCGAGTGTGACACTCTCCCAGTCCGTCCCACTCACCATTGATGAGGTACGGATGAATGCAGCACTTGCGCAGCTCCATCATGGTGTTCATCAGGTTGGGCAGGTTCGACCAGGACGAGCCCTTGGCCAGGAACGAGAAGTTCTTCTCCAGGATACCTCGATAGTACTTTTTCTGGATGTTGGTCAGCTCCACCTCGATGATGGTCTCTTCCTTGGGCGCCAGGCTCTTCTCCACGTCCTCCTTGAGTCGTCGCAGCATCATGGGCTTCAGCAGCACCTGCAGCTTCTTGACCTGCTCGTCGGTGCGCAGCTCACCAAACTCGCTGTTGAACTGCTCCTCGGAGGCGAACTGCTGCGGCTCCAGGAAGTTGAGCAGCGAGTACAGCTCACGGATGTTGTTCTGCAGGGGCGTGCCTATGGGAGAACACCAGTAAGTGTTAGCTCGCTACCAGCTGCTGTTACCTTATTACAATTTACAGTGACAATTTGAACGAAGTCTTCCCGGGAAAGTAAAAGCCCACAGCAGCCGGTCACTGTATATAATTGTCACAAAACAGCTGGAATTATTACCAATATGGCTGATATTTGTTCCAAATAACCGGTAGGCCAAGATAATATGGCATCGCGTCTAGACAATAAAGAGCGACCGATCACAAAGAACATTATTTTCTTCTCTGATCCCTAGTCAGCTCATCGATTCTGTTACACCCATACCTTGGCTGGGCTGGGCAGCATCCACAAATCATTCGCACAAGGTTATAGTCGGTGACTTTAACCACCCAGAAATATTCTGGACCCCGGACCCAGAAGTTCCAGAAGGTGTCAGCCAGAACAGCCCAGCTCATAAGTTTATCGAATGTATACACGATACCTACTTTCTACAGCATATAACAGAGCCAACAAGATACAGAGATGGACAGCGCTCTACTCTCGATGACCTACTCTTTACAAATGAGCGAGACTTGGTGGAACAACTGACAATTGGAGACCCGGTTGGAGCAAGCGATCATGCCAGTGTCTCATTCGCTATATCGTTTGTCCCTTACGTTCCAGTAAGAAAGAGTGCGGTACTGAATTACCACAAAGCCAACTATGAAGAAATGAGGAAAGCACTGGACGTTGACTGGCAAGAACTATTTGAAGGCAAATCTGTGCATGAGATGGCAGATACGCTTGAACATACGATCACGGATTTAATGGATAGGTACGTGCCCAAGCTGGACACCAACAAGAAAGCGAAAAGAGGAAATCCCCTGTGGATGAATCGGAGTGCTCTTAGAATGGTGAAGAAAAAACATCACGCTTGGGTTCGTTTTCTGAACACCAAGGACAGTAATGATTACGAAAGTTATGTCAAGGCAAGAAATGAAGCTACCCACGCGACCAGGAAAGCAAGGCGGGAATTCGAGTCGAAGCTGGCTAAAGAAGTCAAAGGAAATCACAAAGTGTTTTGGAACTACGTCAACCGTCGCAGGAAATCAAAATGTGGTATCTCGGACTTGCGTAGTGCTAATGGTGAACTGGCAACTAACGACAAGCACAAGGCTGATATATTGAATCATCAGTACGCAAGCGTTTTCACAAAGGAAGACAAGTCATCGATCCCAACGCTAGCTCCAAAGCCTTTGGAGGCACAGATGCAAGTTGCGATAACTGTTCAGCGAGTCCATGCCAAGCTGAAAACACTGAAGATTGATAAATCGCCAGGCCCCGACAACATGCACCCTCGTGTTTTGCACGAACTTGCTGACCAGCTTGCGACACCCATCACATCTCTGTTCTGTAAAAGTATTGAAACTGGAGAAGTTCCACGGCAGTGGAAGGTGGCCACCGTCACGCCAATCTTTAAAAAATACGACAAGAGTGATCCCGCGAACTACCGACCAGTGTCACTGACATCAATATTATGCAAGATTCTAGAGAGGATCATATGCGAGGACATCATCGCTCATCTGAAGACAAACAATCTTATCGCTCGCCAACAACATGGTTTCATCACAGGGAAATCTACGGTCACAAACCTACTGGAAGCTCTTGATATTTGGACGGAAGCGCGAAGCCACAGCTTACCAGTGGATGTTGTGTTTCTGGACTATGCCAAAGCGTTCGACACTGTGCCCCATGAACGGCTTCTAGCCCAGGTCCAGGCTCTAGGGGTGAATGCAAAGACTCATCAGTGGATAAGGAGTTTTCTAACAGGCAGGCGGCAAAGAGTGAACGTCAATGGATCACTCTCAGACTGGGAGTATGTAACAAGTGGAGTGCCGCAAGGCTCAGTGCTCGGGCCTCTCTTGTTTTCCATGTTTGTCTGTGATGTTCCCGACCCCTTAAATTGTCATATCTCTATGTTTGCGGACGATACCAAGGTCTACCAAGTCATCAACGAGCGCGATGGTGAACTTCACAATCTGCAAGAGGACATCAACTCTTTGCAAGATTGGGCAAAAACAATGCAGATGATCTTTCATCCACTCAAGTGCAAGGTCATGCATCTAGGACCAACAAATCCTGGAAGCGAGTATACCATGACAACTATGGGTGGAGGCAAACATACCCTTGAAGCAGTCTGTGAGGAAACGGACCTGGGAGTCACTATAGACATGAAGCTATCCTGCTCAAAACATGTCACTAACCAGATTAACAAGGCCAATAGAATTCTTGGTGCAATCAAGCATACCTTTGCAAACATTGACAGCGACATTTTCAAAGCCTTGTACAAAAGCATTGTCAGGCCCCACCTCGAGTATGCAACTGTTATATGGAGTCCCAATTAGTTCAAAAAGGACAAAGATGCACTCGAACAGGTGCAGCGGCGGGCAACAAGGCTGGTGAACGGACTGTCTCACCTTTCATATTCAGATCGCCTCAGGAGCCTTAATTTACCTACTCTGAAATTCCGACGGAAACGGTCGGACATCATCGAGACCTTCAAAATTTTGAAAGGCTTCGACAAGGTGGACTTCCAAAGAGAGTGCCCGTGTTGTCACAACAGCATGTTCAAGAACTCTCTCAGCCGTGTCACCCGAGGACACGATCAAAAACTTCAAGTTCAGCATCAACTGGGACCCAGAAAAGCCTTCTTTGCGGCACGAGTAACTCAGACATGGAACAAGCTGTCAACCCACACCATCGTTGCTCCAAATGTCGATGTGTTCAAGTACAGACTGGGGAAGGAATGGAAGGACCAGCCTGAAAAGTTCAACTACAAGTTCTCATACTAATGATCATCGTGGCCATCAATGTATGGCCTCACCTAGCATGGCAGTCTACTCGTCTTCGTCAGAAGAAGAGGAGGCATCTCTTGAGTAAAGGGTCTGATTACTCGAAAGGGTACCTAATGACCTTTACTTAAGGTAAATACTTAAGGTAAATACCCCACTTGGTCTCCCTTTCCTTCCCGCGACCCTCTCTCCACGCTCCATCCAACCACCCACCGGAGAGCAGGACGCGGTGCTCGATCTCCAGCAGGCGCAGACCCTCCAGCAGCTTGCAGTTGGCGTTCTTCAGACGGTGCGCCTCGTCGATGACACAGACTCGCCACGGCACCTCACTGAGCTCCAGACAGTCCTGGATGACCACCTCGTAGGTGGTGATGCACACGTTGAATTTGTAAATGTCCGGGATGCGCTTGCCGTCGGCGTCCTTGAAGTAGAGCTCGTACTCGGCGATCATGTTCCGGCTGGCCGACCTGCAACGTCAGTAAGACAGATAGTCTATCAGCTCCACTTACTCTTGGCCTTTCCTTACGCATATACCCATAAAATCTCAAAGTATCGCGTGACAGATCAAAGAAGTAAGGCACGGTACAATTTAAGAAATTACAGAAGCATCACACTAAGACCAGTTAACTGTTTGTTTGTTTATTGGGCCTTTAGGGCGCGCCGAATACCAAGGTCATTTTGCGCCCATAACGTCATCCTAGCAAAACGAGTGCGTCATAAGACATAACTAACTAAATGCAAGGACTGGAAGGCTAAAGGCTATATAAAGGGGAAGCATAAGCTAAAAACAGAGCAACCGCATTCCTCGGTTTACGCCATAATTCCCTATTTTACTAATCAAACCCTCAGAACTAGCCCGCCCTCAATTCAGTCGAGCACTCACGTTCCGTGGTAGACGATGACGTTGAGGTCGGTCCACGCCTCGAACTCCCGCTGCCAGTTGGGGATGGTGGAGAGCGGCGCGATCACCAGGAACGGACCGCGTATGCCGTACTCGTACACAGCGTGCACAAACGTCAGCGCCTGGATCGTCTTGCCCAGACCCATCTCGTCGGCCAGGATACAGTTGTGGCTGCCGGGCAGACGGGGAGAGGTCAGTCTGGCCGTGGTCAACAGACACAGTCGACAGAATATCACTCTGGTTGGAACTCGCGTTGATGGTGCTCAAGATCGACAGTCTTATTACGTGACACTGTATTGCATGACTCTATAACGACCAAGAAAAAAAATCGTCGAAGCCAAGAAACACTTGCACCAAACAGCACCAAAAACATCCTTACTGTCACCTGCACGTCAAAGCATCCTCTGCACTACAAACCGCCTTTTCGTGGAGTCAATCTTAGGTAGATTTAGCTGTAAGCTTGCAACCCAATCTGTCAGCCTCCCACTCGCCTCCAGCCTGTTTCACAAGTGATACGTCCTCAGACATGATGCCACTACTCACCCGTTGTAGTAGGAGAACGTCAGCCAGTTGAGACCCTCCAACTGGTAGTCGCGCAGCGCGTTGTCGTTCTTGTAGCGCGGAGACTTGTCCAGCTTTGTCCACTCGGACGCCTTCGGACGCTTCTTTCTCTGTCGACGAAAGTCACGAATGAATACAACGATCACCCGGTACTCGTCATATTAAATATTATTGAACATGCAATTAAAAACATTAGCAATTCTTATCAGATAAGTCTTTCTAACAACACAACAGTCTGGCGTTTCATTTCCCGGATCATCTCCCCTCTCTGCAACCTCCCTGAACAGCAATGCCATCCCTGGCAATAACTCCCTCCCGCCCAATAACTGACCCTCTTGGCCTCTAACTAAACCCATCCCCGTAAACATTCTTCCCCTAAGATTAGTGTCCGCCCCGTCCACACACCGTGCGCTGCTCCTTGGGCGGCGGCTCGCGATACTTGAGGAAGCTGGCGATCTTTGGCTTGTCGACGTCCTCCTCCAGCTCCCAGGTGCAGTCCTCGTAGGAGAGCGAGCGCCACTTGACCAGGAAGTGCCGGCTCTTGTCGCCCGTGTTGGGGTCCGTGTACTCGGACATGTCCAGCACACGGTCCACCTCCACAAAGTCCGGGTTGTACAGCTCCTCGTCCAGCTGTCAACACAGAGTTGGAAAGGTTAACATTGAATAGCGTCAGAGCTGCAGGATAACATCAAAGGGTGACACAGGTCAATGGAAAACAAAAGAAAATATAAATCAAAGAAGCAAAATTATACAGAATATAGCAAAATGAGGAACTCATCATTAAGACCTAAACTTTCTGAGGATCCTGCATATTTAAGTGCCAGACATGTAAGTCACTCATTGAGATAAGTAGCTAAACAGCATTCAGGCCTTACAAATAATTATTTGAACCCACAGGCCCATCGATATGATAGACCCAGCCAGTACGCTGTCGATACTCACGAAATCGAGTACGTTCTGCGACTGCTGCTTTTTCTGCTGGTAGCGTTTGATCTTAGAGGCGATGCGTCTATCTCCGCGCAGCAGTTCGTCCTCCGTGCGCCACTCGCAGTGCAGGTACGAGAAGTTCTTGTACTTGACATAGAACTCGTCCATCTCAACATACTCGACCTTCTTGGGCGGCGCGTCGGCCGGCTTGGCCTCAGCCACCGCCACCGTGCCGTCCGCCGGCTTGCCGCTGTCAGTCGGCTTGGCGTCCCCTTCCAACGGCTTCCCGTCTCCGTCTGCAGGCTTGGCGTCTTCGTCCGCCGGTTTCTCGGCCGTCTCGACTGACTCCTTGTCACCGGACGCCGTCGCGTCTGACGCCTTCTCGGCTCCATCGTCCGAGCCGTTAGCGACGGTTTCAGCCGGTTTCGGCTGCTCCGAGCCGTCCGAGGTATCCATCGGGGTCTGCTCGTCACCCTCCGGTTTCGGTTTGTCTTCAGTCGGGGCCTCTCCGTCGGCAGCGGGCGCCGTCTTGGTCTCAGTCTCGGCACCGGCGGCCTCGGAGCCCTCCTGTTTGGTGGCCGGTGGCGGCGGTGCAGGCGGCTCGTCAGGAATCACCTCACGCTTGCCCTTTCGCTCGCCCAGGATGTACTGCACGATCATGGAGTCCTCGTCGTTCGTATTCTGGGAAAAGAAGGCGGGTGGCGTCAAATGTCACGTTGTAAGAACATCAAGGTTTCACACCGGTGCATGCAGGACGTGATATGGAACTAAAATACGGTCATGCATAGAAATTAATGGGGAAAACTGCTTTTACATGATTTTTGGTCAATGGCCATTGACCACGTTTTCTGCTGTTAAAGAGTGAGCATATACTCAGGCTAAGCACATCTGAAAACAGTGAGACCAGAACATCATCCGGATCTTTATAACCCGCTTACATCCCCCAATCCCAACACAAGGAAAACTGCAAGCCAAACTAGCAGTCTCCCGCAGTCGTCAGTCAAACAGACCCTTGGCATAAGAAAGCAGCAGCGGCCTACAGACTGCGCAGACATTGTCAAACACCATTGCCACCCCTGTTGTCCCGCCTTGCCCGACTCACGATGAAGGCGCAGTTGGGCGCGATGGCCGCCGCGGCCGCCTCCGTCTCCTTTTTGTTGGTCTCCTCGTCCGAGATCTGCGCCAGCTCACGCAGATCCAGGTCGTCCACGTACTTTTTGCGACCGCCCGCGTTACGGCCAGAGCGGCGCTTCTGCAAAGGACATGCAATTGGAACGGTCAGAGGCGAGCAGCTGAAGTCAGCAGCCGGCAGCCGGGAGCAGCTGCTGTGAGCTGTTGTATCGGCGTGTCGCTCAAGTGTATTTTAACACCTCGTCAGTCTCGTTGCCGAGTGAATGGCAAAGCTACCGAGTTACGAAAGGCCCTCGCATCAACCCAGACCACCCGATTGACTGCTCGACAAGACAAGTCTGTGTAGTGTCCAGTGACCATCTCCCCAGACCCCAAACGAACTCACAGCCGGCCGTACCTTCATCCTGCCCATCCCTCGCCCTTCACCAGCCGCTGGTTTCAGACACCCCGTACCATGACTACGGCCCCCACTCACGTTGCTCTGCGAGTCGTCAGGCGGCGGTGACGGCGGCGGCGTCTTCTCCAAGTCCGACGCCTCGCTGTCGCTTCCGCGCCGACGCTTCTTCTTCTTGAAGTTGAGTGCCAGTCTGCGGAAGGTAAATGGCAAGGTTAGAATGTGTCAAGACAAATTGATGCATCAAACACTGCAGAACATGCTTGCAATCCACAGGAGACGGCAAGGCAGGAGCTACGGTGTCATGTAAGAATAGCTGTTGATCGTGCCAACTGAAATTCCATACACATCTCGCTTCACACGTTTTGTTCCTTTCTCTTCTACCATTCTATCGCACATCCTCCCCCTCTCCGGCTTCCCCACTCACTTGGCGCGGGGCTTCTTCCTGGACGGTGTGGCCGACTTGACGCGCGGCCGGGGCGGTTTGGGCGCCGCCGCCGGCGTCTCCTCGGCTCCGTCATCGCTCGTCTTCTGGACCGTGTCGGAGTCGGCGGTCGGCGCCGGCTGCTCTGAGCTCGCCTCCGCGGCCGCCACTGCTGCTGCCACATCGGGCTCCTCCTTGGCCTTCTTGCGACTGCGCGGAGTCCGTCTGCCGGCCGGTCAGGAGGTTAGCGTGGTCCGGGGAGGAGGAGCGAGGGCTTATCGCTACCAGTTGCAGACATTTACCACTAGAAACACAATTTATACATGTGCCTATTGCAAGTTTAGAAGTTGATTGACTGAATTCAGTAGTCATAACTATCCCCTTCCTTAAAAAATGAACAACATAAAAACAGCCGGCCAAACATACACGAATTCTAAGTAAGAAATGTTATTCAGCAATTCCACGACCACACGCAACAATCAGCCCCTGTGCCCAATCAGCACAGTATCCCCAGTCCAGCAGCAGTCAATCTCCCACAGTTTTCCACTCACCTCCGTTTGGGCTTGGCCGGACTGACGGTGGCGTCGGCCGCCGGTTTCTCGGCGCCCTCCTCGGCTCCTTCGGCGGCCGGCGGCGCGTCGCCATCAGCAGGCGGCGGCACCTCCGAGTCCACAGCTGTCTCAGTCTTCACCTCCTCCTCCTCGGCAGCTGCGCCCTTCTTCTTGCGGCTGCGCGCGCGCGGTGTCTTGGGCTCGCGTTTGGCGCGAGGCTCGCGCGGCGTTTTGGGCGTGGCGCGTTTGCGCGATCGTTTGCCGGTGGGCGTCTGCTCAGCTTCCTCAGCGGGCGCGGCCGGGTCGCCGGTGGCGCTCTCCGGAGCCATCGGGCCCTGGGTCACGGACAGGGTTAGGGCGGGTCACAGGGCGGCCGTGACACAACAGGGTAGGGTAGGGACAGTTGCGGTCAACTGTTGCTTAGACAGGAACGCGGAAAGGAACGGTGCCTGGCCTGGATTTGATGATCAGTGGTTGAGGACGCATGACGGCATTGAAAGGCTACCTGAACAGATGGATAAAAGAAGCTGGCATTCGACCATCAAATGACAAGGGGTGATAAGGCTGGGATGTCGAAAGGATAGTGATAAGGACTGAAACTAAAACTGAGAGAAATAGTATGAGATTTGCGATGCAGTTTGTATGGTTCTGCTAATGGCAAAATTCAATTTTATCAAAATTGCCGCAAAAGACGTCATTGTAATTCGATGCTTGCCATGCCATTTGATGCTCTGATACTTGCCGAGGAAATATACCTTCCACGTCAAAACTTTTCCATGTCAAAGCACGGAGCATTGCTTAAGCGTCATGCCAACCAAGACAAAATAGAAGAGCTTCTAGCCGTGCATAGCTTCATTTAAAACCTGGCAGGCTTATTACTTAACCCGGTTCATTCCAGTAACTACGGTGCAGCGATTCTCGTTCATAATATGCAGGGCCAAACAAGATTGGGCAATTATCAGCAGTAAAAGATAGCGTTTATTGAGGCCCGATACGAGGATTTGGGCCTGACTTTCCCGCCACCCCTCCTAGCCGTTACGAGCCAGCCCAGCCTCCGGCATCCCGGTCGCCGTTCGGTGGTTCGTCCCTCTATCTGCCACAGCTGTCGGAGCGATGCCACCGTTCCCCTATCCGCCGAGGGCGCGGTAAACCGGTACCGAGCCGAGGGTGATCAGAAAACGGGGAGGAAGCTGCACGGGCCACCCGCTAACAACGCTGCACCGACCGACTCACGGTGAGTCGGCTCCTTTGCACCAACTAAGACCGGCCCAACCAAACCCATCCCACCAAAGCCCAACCCACCATCACAGCCAAACCCAACCTAAATTTAGCTAGCTCGGCCCAGTTCGGGCCAACCACAAGTCCTATCCTGGGCTATCCAAACCTGACCTATCTCAAGCCTCGTCGAGCCTTACCTAGCATGGCCTAGTCAAGCCTCGGGCCTAGGCAAGTCAGCTGACCAAGACCAGGGGCCGTATTCACGTCGACTTCGTAAGTCGATTTTCTTTCGTAAGTATAATTTGGTATTCACGTCGACACTTCTTAAGTTTTTATCGACGGAGTTCACGTGATTAAAAAAAAAATCCTAAGAAGTAGGTCATTCGTAAGGAAATTCTTACGAAAATAATCGACGTGAATACGGCCCTAGCCCCAGTCTCATCCAGACCATTCCCGTGCATTCCCCACTAACCAGTCAGATGATGCCCACGCTCAGGCGACGGATAGGACGTGTGTGGCACTCTGGGACGGTAACCGAGCAAAAGCCCAGGCGAGAACACGGTCCAGACGGTCGGATCAGGACAGGATACTGTGAATGACTGTAGGGATAAGCCAGGGTAGGTTAGCCGCGGGCTGAGAGGGACTCAGTTGAGAGCGATACGACGACGATAAGGAGACGACTGGTAATTGGTAAATCGTGGTATGTTGAAGGATTGGGTTGTTTACAAAGATAGGTACAGGATAAACAAGCCATCAACGATTATTGCAGCGATTACGGTGCAGAATGAGGTAACTACTGATGACATTTGAAAATGAACGTTCAATTTGAGTAACCAAATAAGTAAGGAGGCCAGGCTAAGCGCTAGAATGCCAGCACGAAACGAAATTTAAGCTTAACTTTCATCAGGCATATCGCACGAAATCAAACCACTTCATCGACTAAGCTCTATCATGCGCTCCAGCAAGAGCAGCAGATCGTTTAGCAATGGTCGAAAATCCAGCTACTGTGATAATTTGTCTGGAAAAGCGTGCTATTCTTAGAGAACTACAGAGCAGAGCAGTCATACCGCGCCATTAGGGATATCCATAGTATTCATAAATCATACGCCATAGAGCAACCAAATACATACACATATCATACACGACAAATGCGATCCAGAAACCTGTTCAACTCAAACGTGAGAAATTAGAAGGATGGCAAGAATCTTGAAGATCAAGTGAAAGAAAGAATCCTTGCACAGCTGATGAAGGTGTCACAAAAAGGCAAGCGAGACAAAGATTTCCCTCAGACGGCCACCGAAAGAAGGCACTAGATAGTCGACATTCGGATGGATGAAAAGCAAAGCAGGCAGGGCGCAGACAGCCGTGCAGGCAGGTAGACATATTCAGGCATATCATCGGACAGCACTAAATAAGAGGCCGTGCAGGCAGTCAGCGGCAGTCTGGGGAGGGGAGGGGGAGGGGGCGCCGGTGGCCGCTCCATCCGTCCGTCCGTCGTCGGCTGTACCTCCTCGGAGCCGCTCTCGTCGGCGTCGTCGGCGGCGCTGGAGGAGGCCGCCGCTGCGGCGGCGGCCGGCGGCAGCGGTGACGGCGCGGCGCGCTCCGGGCTGACGGGCGACGCTGGCGGCGGCTCCCGCTCCTGCCGCGGCCGGCACGAGCGTGACCAGCCGGTCGGCACGCGGCTCACACAGCAGACCACGGCACACGACAGACAGGGGCGCCGCGCGGCCCGACACCACACCAAACACCACACTGTGCGCGCGGGGACGGCGGTGACGACCACACACCGGCGGTAAAGGCCGCGCCCCGACCCGTACCAAGCGTGAAGCAGCCGCCAGCAGCGTGTTAGTGATATCATGCAGCCAGCCCGCCTCCCCGCCCGCTCGCCCTCCCAGTCTGTACCGAGACGCCTGCACACCGCCACCCGCCCGCCTTTTTTAGATGACCCTTTCGGTAAGAGGCGGGGATGAAGCACCTCCCGGCGCCCCGAATTACTGACCTGTTGCGGAGGCAGTGGGCCGGGCGGCGCTCCCGGCGCAGGATAGCCTGGAGGAGGGGCGCCCTGGTAGGTGGGTGGCCCCGGCGGCGGGCCCAGCTGCATCTGCAGAAACTGGGCGCGCTGCTGGAGCTCTTGAATCTGAGGACATAGGCCACACCACGGTTAGTCTCAGAAAACATCCAGCATGAGACATTCAATTTCACATTGCCTGAGCCTGATGCACACTGAACGCTGCTGATCCATGCAAAAACAGTGAACGTTTAATCACAGAATCATGTGCATCTATAAACTGGGGAGCGCGGCGGTACGGCGATCTGAAACGGATATAAATACGTCGGCCGCGGCTGGCGGCTAGCGGCGCGGTCACGCGACAACCACAGTTCACATGCAACGGTGGGCGGCGGGCGACACTCACCGGCTGCTGATGCTCCGGCGCCGGCGGCAGGGTGTACAGGTGCTGCAGCCGCTGCTGCACCTGCTGCAGCTCAAACTGCACCGCGTGCCGCTGCTCCATGGTGAGCGGCGGCCGCGGACCCACCATGCCCGGCCGCGGCCCAAACACGCCGCCCGGCCCGGGGCCCGGTCGCGGTCCGAACTGGCCGCCCATCTGAGGTGCCATGCCCGGCCGCGGCGGTCCGCCCGGGTAGCCCGGCTGGCCGAACGGCGGCATCCCCGGCTGACCGGGGTGCATGCCCGGATGCATACCGGGTGGCATCGAGCCGGCCATGTGCGGCGGCAAGCCTGGGTGCTGCGGCGGCCCGGCGGCGCCTGACGCGGCCGGCATCTCGCCGCCGGCGGACGACGCCGGCACGCCCGGGCCGCCGGCAGTCGAGAACGGCGTGGGGCCGCGGTAAGGCGGCGCGCCTGGCATCATCGGACCGGGAGCGCCGGGCGGCGGAGGCGGGCCGGCGCCCACGGGGGGCTGGCCCGGCGCCGCGTCGCTGGCTGATGTGGGTACGCCCGGTGCACCCGGCCGAAGCGTTGGGCCGGCGTCCGAGTGAGGTGGCAGTCCGGGTGCTGAGGACACGATCGGTGCTCCGGAGAACGGCGGTCGAACGGACGCCATTGATGACTGAGGCATTCCGGGGGCTCCCGAGAAAGGTGGCATTCCGGGTGCTCCGGACGAAGGTGGCATTCCGGGAGCTAGGGACGAGGGCGGCAATCCTGGAGCTGACGAGAATTGCGGCATTGCAGGTGCCCCTGATGAAGGTGGCATCCCAGGGGCAGCTGAGAACGGTGGCAGCTCGGACGCTCCGGACGACGGGGGCATCCCAGACGCCCCAGAAAACGGCGGCATCTGCGGCGCTGTAGACGACGGTGGCAGGCCAGGGGCGCTCGATGATGGCGGCATCCCCGGAGCCGAGGAGAACGGTGGCATTCCAGGTGTCCTCTGAAACGACGGCACTGGCGGGCCGCCCGCCGAGGCGGGGGGCATGCCCGGGGCTCGTGAGAACTGTGGCATTTCGTTGGCGCCGCCCGGGCGCGGTAGCATCCCGGGGGTGGCGATTCCTGAGTTGGGTTGCGGCAGCGCCGGGCCGCCGGCTGCTGTCGCGCTCGGCTGCTGCACTCCGGGCGTGCCCGGCTGCGGCGGCGGCGCTCCAGGGCCGGCGCTGGCGGCTCCCGCCTGTGGCGACGCTCCTGAGTTAACTCCCGGCAACCGGATGCCGGGGTGCGCGGTGGCGCTCGGTGAGACGCTCTCGGCGCCGGCTGGCGGCGGCGCCAGGCCGGCCTGGGGCGAGGCCCCCGACAAGCCAGCCGGCTCCGACTCCGTCGCTGGAGAGGACAGCTCCGGTGCGGCCGGCGCCGGGGGTGGCGGCGGTGACGGGGCAGTCTCGGACTGCGGCGGCGGCGCGGCCGCCCCCAGGTCCGCGCCCAGGTCGGGCAGTGAGTCGGGTCGGCCGGGGGGCTCCTCGGGCGCGGCCGGCGGCGGTGGCGGCGGCGGCTCCGCACTCGGCTGCGGGGACGGCGCCGCCGCCGCCGCGGGCGGCTCCACCGAGCGCGGCGGCTGCGGAGACGCGCTCACCGACGCCGGCCGTGACGTCGGCGTCGGGGTGAGCCGCTGCGACGCCGGCGACGCGGGCGTGGGCGACGGCCCGGCGAACGAGGCCGGCGGCCGTCCGAAGGAGGCCATGGGCGACTGGGGCCGCAGCTGCTGCGGCGGCCCCTGTTGCGGCATCGACGGCAGACGCGGCACCACCGCCTCGGGCGTCCAGGTGCGCGCGCGCGGCATTTGCTGCTGCTGCTGGGGGCTGAGCCCTGGGTGCATGCCGGGCCGGAACTGAGGGTCGAACATGCCGTCACGCGAGCCGCCGTAGCCACCCGGGCCCGGCCCAGGAGGCCGCTGCATCTGCTGCATGTGCTGCATGTGCTGATGCATCTGCTGCTGCTGCTGCTGCTGCTGCTGCTGTTGTTGCTGCTGCTGTTGTTGCTGCTGCTGTTGTTGCTGCTGTTGTTGCTGCTGGTACGCCGGTGATTGTTGGTACATGTTGGGCTGCTGGTAGCGGGGGAACATGCCGCCAGGCCCTTGGTGCTGTGGCGGGTGGCCTGGCTGGCCCGGCTTGCCCATCACAGGCGCCCTCATCTCGGAGGAGGCCGGGTCGCCGCCGCCCGCCATACTGTTCATTGACGAGGTGGGCGGCCCGCCGGCACCACTACCCACCGCGTCTTTCACACTCATAAACCCGGGCAGTGAGTTGGGCACGCCGGACGAGCCGTCCCCACCGGGCCCCGACAGGCCGGCCAGCAGCTGGTCCTGCTCCGGGCTCTTCATCGGACTCTTGGAGCTGCTGTCGCCCGGGCCCGGGCCCGAGCCGGGCATGCTGTGCAGCATCGAGTCGATGCTGGTCATACGCACGGCGTGCTGCTGATGCTGCTGCGCGGCGATCTGGCTGGCCGGCGCCGGCGACGGCACCCGCTGCAGCTGCGACCACTGCGCCGGCGAGGTGGGCGTGCGCGGACCCAGGCTCGGACTGTGGGGTGTCGAGCGATTCACCATGCCCGGAGACATGGGGGTGCGCGGCCCGGGTGCGCCGGCCGCCGAGCCGCCCGGCCCTCCCGGCCCGGCCAGCGGACTGAGCACCCGCTGCTGTGGCGGCGCACCGGGCGCCTGAGGCCCTCCCGGCAGGTCCATCATCTGCACACCGGGCACCACCATCTTCTCCAGATGCTGCAGGCTTGACGGAGCTCCTCCGAACTGCTGCTGCTGTTGTTGGGCCTGCTGCTGCTGTTGTTGCTGTTGCGCCTGCTGCTGCTGCTGCTGCGCTTGCTGTTGTTGCTGCGCCTGCTGCGAGGGTGGCGGCGTGGCGCCGGTGGACGGCGGCCGCGGCGACAGGGATGCCGCCGCTGACATGGCCTGAAGGTGACCCGGTATCCGCGGCGCCTGCTGGGACGGCATCCGCGGCTGCTGAGGGGACATCTGCCCGGGCATCCGCGGCTGCTGGGGAGACATTTGGCCGGGCATCTGACCGCCGGGCCGCGGCATCCGCTGGCCAGGCATGTAGCCCACGTACTGAGCGGGCACACCGCCCTGCTGCGGGCCGCCGGCGCCGTACGGGTACTGCTGCGGCGGCGGCTGCTGCGGGTACCGGTACGAGTGGTGCGGCTGCGGCAGCTGGCCAGCCTGCTGCGCCGCCGCGTACTGCGCCTGCTGCTGCCGCGCCGCCATGGCCGCGTACTGCTCCGACTGCCCCGGGAACCCGCCGGCGCCGCCCGGACCGCCGCCAAAGTGCGGCTGCTGCGGCGGTCCGGGCGCGGCGCCACGCGGCATGCCCTGCGGCGCGCCCGGCTGCTGCCGCGCCATACCGGGGTGCTGCGGGAAGCTGGCGCCGGCCGGCGGCCCCGGCATGCCCGGGTGGTGGCTGTATCCCTGCGGGTGGCCGTACGCCGAGCTCGGCGGCAGGCCGCCGCCGTAGTGCGGGTGCTGGCCGGGCCATCCGGCCGGTGCGGCCATCCGCTGCGGCTGACCGCCGTACTGCTGGAAGCCGGCGTACTGGGGCGCGCCGGGCGGCTGCGGCCCCGGCCCCGGTCCCGGCCCGGGCCCCGGCTGCTGTCGGTACCCGCCCGCCGGCGTCATGGAGCCGGCCATGCTGGTCTGCGGGCCGAGCGGGCCGGCCGCCGATGTCTGGTAGGGCTGGTAGCCGGGCGCCGGCTGCGGCTGGCCGTAACCGGGAAAGCCCGGCGGCTGACCGCCGTATCCCGGTTTCGGCTGCATCGGTGGTCCCAGAGACGTGTAGTTGCTCTGAAACAGAAGCAGAGACGCTGCATCAGCAATACATCACACAGAAGTTCTCAAGCGCACGTCACCCATCCTTCTACACAGCCCCAGACAGGCACACAAACAGCCGTACCATCCGACCTCCCCTCCTCCGTCTGCGGCGGGCCGGCCGTGTCCGGAGGGCTGTTCACGGGCCCTGTGTGCGGTCGGACCGCACACAGCCTCCAAGCTCCGCCCACTGCGTCCCTACGTCAGCCTTCCGTCACCGCACACAGCGACCGCTGTGGCCGGTCGGGACTGGCCACAGCGAACCGTCCACCGCACGCAGCCGTGACGTCAGAGCCGCCTACCCATCCCCTACCCCCACGCCTGCTGGACGCTCCGCACACACCGCACGCAGCAGTGTGCGGTAGAGTTCTGCACGGCTGCAATTTTCCACAGCCTAGCCGCCCCGCAGCCGTGGCTCCACAGCCACAGCCGCCCACAGCCGTGGCAAACTGTGGGCAGCCAGCCGTCAGCCGGCCGTGGATACTTTCAATGAAATGCAACCAAATAGTATATAATAAGTTGTTTTTAGTTGAAACATATAGCCAAAAGCACATTGCAATGGGCTATAGATTCTCAAGCTCATGAAGCATCATAGGTTAAGTGGTTGTGTATCTGGCTTTAGGCCGAAGGCCTGAAGCCTGATGCGCAACGCATGCCTCCACAAGCCCTTGCAAGGGGTTAAGAAAGATGGATAGGTAGGTACCTACATCATCAGAAAACACAAACAACGAACCAGAATAGAAGCACTAGCAGTGTAGACATCTAATGCCAAATCCTGAAGCATGGTTGTGGGACAGAACAACAGACCCTGATGCTTTTCATTATCAATGTTAGGTGTGGAAAATGAAACTGAAGTTGATGGACTGTCAAAAAGTGATTGTCTAGTCAAACCTCTTGCTTCTTTCTTACCTTGCATATTTTCTGGGGTGTGATATGCCAGGCTTGAAGCAGCCTTCTGAGCAAGTCTCAAACTATTTTGATATGCAAGGCATCAAAACACTAGTGAGCATCCAAGAAAAAAAAACATTCATCTATTTTGATTTTTCCAAATAATGATCTTCGCTCAAATCCCCAAGGACGTGCAAGCCACATTTGCCTCTTTCAATCAAAAATTTTACTTGAGTTTTAATGACGTCAATAGCAAAGAAGTGGCAATAAATTGTTTTGTGTCACCATTAACAGCCATGAAAACTATAAATAATAAACAATAATGCTCTACAGTTTAAAAATTGCTCTCAAACAAAGATTAGGTATCAAATTTTAACATTTTCAGAAGAAGACGTCATTTTATTAGTAAAGTCAACAGCTCGCGTAAGAAATGTTGTGTTCAGGGTTTTCACCGTCATGTGAATTACGTGTTCAGGGTTTTCACCATCATGTGAATTAACCGTAAGTAAGGTTCATGCTCGCTTATAATCTAATTCCATTGGCTTCGTTGATCAGCATTTTCTGTTAGCGGTCACTCACACACCAGTTAGAACATAAAGCGCCAGTTTTATATTATGTAATTGGACTTGCCGAAAATCCAGAAATACATCTAAGAGTGTTATTTTAGATAATATTTTAGGAAGCCTTTACCTGCCTTTACCTAGGCGTGATTTCTTTTTCTATTACCTGAAAGAATTATTGAACGCTCGTCTTCAATAGCTGTAAGGTGCTCTCCTAACTAATGACCAGGTGAGATTGATTTGAGAGGGATGTGACAATGCAACATGTTGCTTTTTCTGAAACTGTCAAGCTCTTGATGATGCGCGCCCTAACTCTTCAACAACAACAACAACAAGCTCTTGATGATGAAGGAACAATTGGTACCTATAATCAGTATTCTGTACCAGAGTGCAAACTCCCCTACAGCAAATGGTAAAACCATTACAGGTTTTCAAAGGCTTCACCACTTTCAATGTTGCTGGGCATCCTTTGCATGATTTTTACAGGCTAGACTGCTTATCAGAATGTAAGATTAAGGATTTAAAATTTCATATTTGAGTACTTAGATTGAGCTTGAAATCTCACAGCCGTGGCCACAGCCGTAGCCGTGTTCTTGGAGATATTTGCAGCCGCCCCGGCCCACAGCCGTGGGGCTGCAGCCAGCCGCGGCTGCAGCCGGCCGGTGCAGACCTCTAGTGTGCGGTGCCCGTGAACACCCCTCAGATCGGGGCCGATAAACGGCCGCCATCCGCCCCTCGGGCCGGGAGGACAGCCGGCCGCGTCCCCACACCGTCCGCGGCCCGACAGCGGCGGCGGCGGCGGCGTCCGGCGTGCCCACCGTCCGGTAAAAACGGCGGCACTTGGCCGGCCGCCAGCCGGCAGTGACTCAGTGATTAGAGCCGTTCATGGAAGCAGCCGCCCGCCGAGGCCACACAGTCCGGCACACCGGCCGCACTCGTGCTGAATGACAGCAGAATGCCACGGTGGTCTCTCAGCCGGCCTGGCGAGGATGAACATTGATGCATGCAGTGGTGTTTGAATAGTTTGCTGGATTCGGATATGAAAGGTGAAATTAAAAATCCTGCCAGTTATGTAAGCTGATGGGGGAAAGACGACAGAGCCTGAGATCACCACCAACAGCGCCCGATTTAGATGGGAACAATACGTCATAAAGGGATGCACTAAAACAAACAGTTTTGCGTTTTGAGGACGGAAATGTCATCACACATCTCTCCACCAAACTACTAGTCGGTAACTGCTCCCCGAGGACAACTTATAAAGCTCAGTCACGGATCGGGGTGCCCCGCGCCCGAACGAGCCACGAGGCCGTCGGCCCTTGGCTCTGCCCGTTCGGTACCGCCACCTCCCGACGGACACGGTCGGACGCTCGTCAGAGAACATCCGGTCGACCAAAACAACCTGGCTTTGGCCGCGTCAGCACAGATACAGAAAACGTTTAGCAAGCTCTAGCAATATCAGTACTCACAAATAAGCCAATCTGAAGCATTTATTGCGAGGATAAAGCAATATGTGTTACACAATCACAAAGGAAGGCGCACCGAAAGAAGCATTCGACCGAGCGGTATCCACAGTGGCCGGGTTTTATTCCCTGGCAGTCGAGGGGGTCTGGCGTCCGCCGGATCGGTCCGGGCGCGGCGGTGACGGCCGCCGAGACCGGTCCGCGGCAGATGTCCAGATAGACGGGCCGGCCAACAAAAAATGCCACCGCCGACACCGCTCGGCAGCGCCACCGAACACCGTCGACAGCGCGCCGACACCGGTACACCGGACACGGCTAACGGGCGGCCGGGACGGAGGCGACAGCCGCTCAGTGTTACCCATTGTTCGACTGCACAGGCGACAACTGCTGCACGGACCAAAATCACCCTGTTGAGAACAGAATTGAACGGCGGCCATAGTGCTCCCAGTGCTCCCAATGAACTAGACGAATAGAGCCCTCAACAGTTTTATCGGCTTGGGTTCAACACAACCGATCGAAGTGTTGGTCCCAAGTCGAGCGTTGGCCTGCCTCAAATCTGGCAGACGGCAGCGTCGGTCGGCGGACCGCCGAGCGCCATCTTACGGCCGACTAATCAAGCGTGGCCGCGACAGCATCTCCCATCCCTCCTAAACGAGCGACGCCGGCCGCCGGACAAAATGGCGACCGTCCCCAAACCACGCAGCGGGCCAACACAGCCGGGCCGCGGCGGCCCGTCCGCAGACGCGCGGCGCGGTCGACCGGCCGCCGATTCTCAGTTGAGACGGTGGCGGGCGGCGGTGACGCGCGGGCGGCCCGGCCCGTCCGGCGCCGCCCGGGGCGGCCATCTCACCGCCTCCTCCGCCGCCGCCCTGCCCGGTAACGATCGACAATCGGGCCGTAAACAAGGAGACGACGCGGCGGCGGCGGCCGGTCCGACCCGTACTGAGCCGGCCGCCGCTCACCGTGAGGCGCCGGGGACCCGTCACACACCACACCGGGATGGAGCGTGGGTCCATGACAGCAGACGGACAACTGTTACGAAGCGGAGCTGTCAGACAGTCTCGCTTCAGTGGCGCTGCGTAGAAACCTATTCCCGTGTTTCGAGTGCGCGCATTCTATACCAGGACAAGCAACAGACGCAATCCTTCCCATAGCTATCGCCTATCTCAATGGCCAAGTCTTTTAGCTCCGTGCAACGACCAACAAGTTCAACCGCGGCACATCCCCGCTTCCAAACTACCCATCGCTCTTATCTAGCCGGTTTCCGCCCCAAAGAACCATCCGGGGAACCACAGACAGCCGTCTGCCCACGCGCCCCGAGTCCCCTCCCCACCACCACGCCATGTCATGCCGGCCGGCTAGGCGGTCAGCGCAGCCCGCCGCCTCCCGGACAGCCACGGGCGAGCATTACCGCCGCTGCGGCCGGCCGGCGCCGCGCGGCCGGTCGGCACCGAGCCTGGTCACAGCGCCATCGGGCGGCGGTCGCGACCGTCACATCCTCCGAGCGGCGGCGGAGGCAGCAAACAAACGAACACCGCGCCGCGCCGCCCGCCGCCCGCCCGGCCGGCCGGTTTTTAGCTCGGCCACCCGACGGCGTCCCCGATCGGCGCGCGGCGCTCCACCGACCGGGATGCGCCTTAATCGATACAACTTTCACAGCGGCCACACGGAGGTCAACGGCAGCGGCGGCGGCGGCGGCGCACATCCAGAACCTTCTATAACGAGCGGCTGTCGCCTCTCCGTCGTTCTGCGTCTCACCCCTGTGTAGAGTGGAACGACCAAACTGTCACCGGTGTCCTTTATAACGGTACTACAGACATTCCGTTTGCCGCAGAATGTTGTGCGTTAACGTAATACTAACGTCCTGCCAGCACGGCAGCGGCACCGGCCCCTCTGTTCAACTCAACTCGGGGTCAAGTTGTCCGGTACCATAACCTTGTCGGCCAACTTCGGCGCCAGTTTTATCAGAGTTCGCCCCCAGTTAGGGGGAGGCTGTGACGTCAGACGGCCACCGGCCGCGCCGTCCGGACCCACATTCTCCCCAGTTCCCAGTGGCGACGGCGGCGGC